CCGTCCTGTCGCCCCACTGCGCGCTGCATCCCGTCGGGCCCGAGCTGGCTGACAGAAAAGCGCCGCGCGGCTGCCGGGGCTTGGTGGTTGCGCGTGGCCGCGAGGGTCGTGCGGATGCCCGCGACCCGAGTCCATTCTAGGTCCCTGGGTGTAAGCTGACAGACTTGCGCTCTTCGGGCGCCTTAGCTTATGGTGCAAAATGTGACCCGTAGGTGTCTTTGTGTAAGTATGCGGTGGCGATTTGGTTACCTTCTAAAATTTCACGGATTGTTATCGTGCCATAATAAGGGGGTGGTTGTCAGTCTCATTGGAGAAGACTTGAGCTGTGTATTTATCGGTTATGAGACCTCCGACGGCTCTTCAAATTGCCTGGGCCCTTAGTTCCCACACAAACTTATTGTGGCTTTTATCAGGGCGGAATAAAGTAATGCTCAGGACACTGGAAGGACAGGGCTTGACATTCTGCACAAAGTGCTCAATGCTTGTTTCTGTTTATTGCTTTCACAGTATGTATTCAATAAATACTGGGCACCAGCCGTGTATATGCTAATCATGTAGATGGTAGGGTTCGTTGAGCAAAACTTGCCAGGCATTTTTTAAAATTTAATTTTATGTTAAATGTATGAGTGCTTGCCTGCATGCATGCATGTGCACCACTGGCCAGAGGAAGGCAGAAGAGGGCGTGGGACTGTTTTGGAACTGTAGCTATAAGCAATGGAGAGCTGCCATCTGGGTGCTGGAAATCCAGCCCAGGTCCTCTGCAACAGCTAGTAAGTGCTCTTAACCACTGAGCCGCCTCTCCGGAGAGCCCTGTTTGCCAAGTTTTTGATTTTGGAGAAAGAGAAGCTTGCCTTTTGAGGCAGAAGTGAAAACCATACACACTAACAGAGAAAAGACAGTTTGAATAAATGAAGTGAGTGGCATATGATAGAGACAGTCTCTAGTGAATTGGAAACTGTTGCCATAAAGGAATGCTGGCCACATATCTGTAGCACTGTTCATAAAAACCCAGAGACAGATATTGGTGTTCAGCCTGAAGGTCAGAAAAGCAAAACAGCCAACGATTGGCTTTTACCTCTACCTCAGTCCGAAGTGGTGATCCTGGCTCTAGGAGTCCTCAAAATGAAACTGAGATTGAGAACTGCCTCCTCCCATTTTATATTCCTCTCTAGCTCTGGGATTAAAGGCATGCACCACTACTGCCTGGTTTCTTTGACAAACTAGGTGGCTACTGGGATTGAAGGCGTGTGTCACCACTGCCTGATCTGTAAGGCTGACCAGTGGGGCTATTTTACTCTCTGATCTTCAGACAAGCTTTATTTATTAAAATACAAATGAAATATCACTATAGATATCAGATCTACTTTTGTTTTCAAAAGACTTAAATTGCAGCCTGTCATTAGTGGTGCATGCCTTAAATCCCAGCACTCAGCAGCAGAGGCAGGCTGGTCTCTTGAGTTTGAGACCAGGCTAGTCTACAAATCGATCCCAGGACTGCCAGAACTGTTAGACAGAGATACCCTGTCTTGAAAACAAACACAAAAATAATCCAAGGCTGGCTATCCTTTGCTTCATAGTGAGTTCTAGGCTTCCCTGTGCTTCATGAGACCCTATATCAGAACAAAAAAAAATACTTGGAGCCAAATAAAAGAATTTTATGGACCGAATTCAGCCCCTTGACAGCTTGTTTGGAACTCAGGTGAAGGCAGAATGACAGACATCAATCAAGGAGCAAACAAGAGTAAAACTACCCTTCAAAAGCAGTATGTGCTCTCAGAGTCTATTTAAATGATAAAAAAAAACAACCCAGCATTTGACCTAGTGAGAGGTATTCCCAAAGGAAGTGGCTGTTGAGCTAGAAACTGAAGGATGAATAGATATTATCTAAGTGAAGGACTCCAGGAAAGGACCCTGGAACCCAGGGAGTTGTGGCTGAGGGGAGGCAGAGTGTTTTGTGAAACCCAGAAACCTTTCTAGACGACCTTAACATTGTTTATTTTGGGCTTGTTATCTGTGGGAAAGTTTTGCATTGGAGAGTATCCTGATTTGATTTGTGTAAGAGGACATACTGAAAGACACTTTAATCAAGTGCAGGAGCATAATTAGGAGACTGCAGTGCAGGGCCCAGGTGATGTGACTTAGCCTAGGGTGATGAAGGCTGAGCTGGAGAGAAGCATAATGACAGTAATAGGATTGTTTTGAGTTAGTCCTTAGTTATGGAAAATTTTGAAAATCAAAACTTTATACAAACATTCATATGACGTTTTCCCTGTATGTCATTGGCCTTCTCTGTCCTTAACTTATTGTTGTCTTCTGTAGAGAAGGTAAGTCATGTGTGGATTTTTTTTCTTTTTTTTTTAAATTTATTTATTTATTATGTATACAATATTCTGTCTACATGCATGCCTGAAGAGGGCACCAGACCTCATTACAGGTGGTTGTGAGCCACCATGTGGTTGCTGGGAATTGAACTCAGGACCTCTGGAAGAGCAGGCAATGCTGTTAACCGCTGAGCCATCTCTCCAGACCCCATGTGTGGATTTTTGCTATGATAAAAATTTTACAAATGCATTCTAGAAAATGGAACTAGATGTCATGGGAGAGCAGAGGATCTCATACATTGTGGGTTTGTTTTGAAACAGGGTCTCACTGTATTATATAAGCTGATCTCAAACTCACAGAGAGCCACCTGCCTCTGCCTCTGCCTCTGCCTCTGCCTCCGCCTCTGCCTCCTGGAGTGCTGAGATCACATTCAGGGTGCTGAAGTGGAAAAGTAACCTTTTTCAGGTATAAATTTAGGGCAAAATGAATGTTCTTCTTATTCTTTGTAAACATTGTCTCCACCAGATCAATAAATCCGAGAAGCCAGAAAGCTGCGATAATGTGAAGGTTGTTGTTAGGTGCCGGCCCCTCAATGAGAGAGAAAAGTCAATGTGCTACAGACAGGCGGTCAGCGTTGATGAGATGAGGGGAACCATCACCGTCCATAAGACCGATTCTTCCAACGAACCTCCAAAGACATTTACTTTTGATACTGTTTTTGGACCAGAAAGTAAACAACTTGATGTGTATAACTTAACTGCAAGACCTATTATTGACTCTGTTCTGGAAGGCTACAATGGTGAGTGATGTGCAGCTTGCTTTATTGTTGTGAAGTAACACCCAGTAAGATGAGTGGTTTACCTGTTGCAGTTACAGTGTTGTGAGATACAGTAAACATTTGCAGTTGTGAGGCCCACCACGTGATGTCATTTTAGACCCCAGCGCCATCCTCAACATTCCTTTCCACTGGTTTTGCAACCTCCCACCCTGTGTCCTTTGGTCTGCCTTCATGTCACAATACTTTTGTCTTTTTGAAATTCCATTTATGACATCTTAAAATGCCATCTCTTTATTTTTAAAAATCTATTTTCAGTTTACATGTATATGTATTTCACCTATGTGTAGGCACCAAGTGTGTGCTTGTGTCACGTGTGTGCAGTGCTCATGGAAGTCAGAAGAAGACAGTCAACCCGGGGACTGAAGTTAAAGATGGTTGTGAACCATGTGTGAGTGCTGAGAGTCCAACCTGGGCCCAGACAGGTTTCTCTGTGTAGCAGCGCTGGACAGCCAGTTTGTAGACTAGGCTGGCCTCTAACCCAGAATTCTACCTATCTCTTTTCTCTTGAATGCTGGGGTTACAGACATGGACCACCATCACCTGGCTCAAGTACTTTCTTTTTTTAAACATCATTTTCTTTCTTTTTGTGTAATGTTTTTGAAGTTTACCTATCTTTGCATATTATCAGTTCTTTGTGACTTAATGAGAAAAAGAATGATTTATTTTTTTATTTTATGTGTATGAGTGAGTGTTTGCCCATATGTATGTGCACCATGTGCATGCCTGGTATTCTCAGAGGCTATCAGAGGCCATCAGATCTGTGAGTCACCGTGTCAGTTCTAGGAATCAAGCCTAGGTCCTCTGGAAGAGCAGCAAGGACTTTAACCACGGAGCTGTCTTTCCACCCCTACTTATGTGTGTTTGGTTGGTTGGTTGGTTTTCCCCTTTGTATTTTAATGTAGATTTTATAACCATCGTATCTGTTTCCATAAAATAGATTTTGGTCACAATTGTGTTGACACTATTGAATCTTCTGTTTATGTCCTACTTAATTAACTCTTTCACTTCTGATAGTTTTTTTGTTATTCTTACATACTTAAAAAGTTACATTTACTTACTTATATGAGGCCATGTGTACCATGGCCATGGGTATAGCAACCAGAAGACAACTTGGAGCAATCATTTCTTGCTTTCACCACGGGTATCCCAAGCATCAAACTTATTGTCGGGTTTGGTGACAAGTGTCTTACCCACTCAGCCTCTTTCTTGCCCACTCTTCAGCATTCTATTGTAAATAGAATTGTTTGCATAATTTTATTTTGTGATTAAGTATTGTTAGTATCCAGAAATATGACAGACAGTGGTGGTGCACCTTTAATCCCAGCACTCAAGAGGCAGAGACAGGTGGATCTCTGTGAGTTTGAGGCCTGCCTGGTCTGCAGAGTGAGTTCCAGGACAGACAAACAAACCCTGTCTCAGAAAAAACCAAAACCAAAACACAACAACAAAATACATACATATATGTGTATGTGTGTGTACATAAACACATATATCTCTCTCTATATATGTATATATAGATACAGAAATACATTTGATTTTTAAGTATTTTTCTTATTAAGATAAAATTCAAGTGACATAAATCCACTCATCATTTTATAGTATCAGATTCCTAGGTTTTCAGTGGATCACATGTTCTTAAGACAGTTTTCCAGCAACCCAAGGATTCTGGATCTCAGTGTCAGCCATAACAGCCTTCTCAGCACTGCTTCTCTGTTGGAGTTTTCCTGCTCTGGCGGTTCAGGGCAAGGGGCTCACTTACTGAGTAGTCTTTTATCTGACTTCTTTCATTAGCATTTGCTAGGTTCATTCTTATTGTAGAATGTATCAGGATTCATTCATTACAAGACCGAATAATATTCCACTGTATAGATGCATTTTGTTTGTATACTTCATCAGTTGAACATTTGGGTTATTTCTAGCTGTTAGGAATAATGTTGTTATGCATATTCTTATACAAGCTTTTAATTTTTATGAACATACACACCTAGGAGTGTAGTTGCTGAGTTATGGGGTAACTTCCCTTGACCCTTTGAAGACCTGTCAAATGGTATTTCACAGTTCCATCACTATTTTGTATTCCTAACAGCAGTGTGAGCGTTCCAGTTTCTCCGTGTCTTTGCCAGCATCTGTTATCATTCTGGTAGTGTTGACCTCATAGCACAAAGTGCTGTTTCATGCCTTGCAGATGATTTTATATATTGATTTTATAGATTTATATATTCAGCAAGATTGTATTGTGCAACCTTGCTAAACTTAGTAATTCTAGTTGATTTTTAGTGTTTGCCCCAGGGGTAGGTTGGTGATCAAATTCAGACCCTTATACTTACAAAAAATTCTCTAGGATTTTCTACATGCATAATTATATTGTCTGCCAGTAAAGACAGTTTTTACTTTTCATTCCAGTCTTTTGCCTTTAATTTCATTTTGTTGCCTGATACTCTGGCCAGGAACTCCAGTGAGTGTTGAGCACAGAGTGATCGTTGTCTCCTCCTGATCTTGGGGAAATGTACACCTTCTTTGACTGGTGGGCTGATGCGCCTGTGTCCATCCGCCATATACCTGCTTTGGTGCCATCTAAAAGACTTTGACATACAGATCATGTTTTTGCTTACACCCATTTTAGGATGCTTTCTATTATACTTTGTGTATGTATGTGCACATGTTTATGTGTTTGTACCTTTATGTTTGTGCCAGCATGCATGCATGTATTACCCACATGTTTGCCATCTTGGTGACTTTTTTTTTATTGTGAAATTTTTTTTTTCTGTTTGACTTTTTTTTTCCTGCCCCAGTGCTTTGTGCTTACTAGGCAAGTACTCTACTGCTAAGCTACGACCTCAACCCTGTGAAATCATTCCCCTTACTCTTTGCTCTGGAACTGGCTCTTGTCTGGTATTATTATGGACACTGTGGTTTGTCTTCTGATTGGTGTTAGCATGGTGTGTCCTTTCTCCATCCTTTTAATTCATTTGTGTTTTTGATATTGAAAGTACCTTTCTTTTTTAAAAAGTGTTGGGAGGGGAGGGAGAAGGGTGTGTACATGCCACAAGGCTTGTGTGGAGGCCAGAGGATACCTCTGTGGAATTGGTTCAGTAGTGTAACATGAAGGGCCGGCTTGTTGGGGTTTCTGTCCCGCCCGGTACCCCACAGCCGGCAACTCCCAAGGAAAATCACACACAGTACTCCATAAGATTATAAACTGATTGGCCCATTAGCTCCGGCTTCTTGTTAACCCTTGTAACTTATATTAACCCATTATTATTATCTATGTTAGCCGCACAGCTCAGTACCTTTCTCAGCTGGGCAGGTTACATGCTGCCTCTTCGGTGGTCTGTGCAGGAATGGCGGAGGGAGCTTCCTGCTTCCCAGAATATTCCTGTTCTCATTGCCCCACCTCTACTTCCTGTCTGGTTGACCCACCTATACTTCCTGCCTGGGCAATCAGCGTTTTATTAAAATACATGATTGACAGAATACAGACAATTCTCCCACACTACAGTAGTTCCAGGGTTTCAGTTGACCAGGTTAGCATGGCAAGTGACTGTGCCCGCAGAACATCTCAATGTTCTGAAAGTGGAATTCTAACAAAGAGCTGCAGTGGAGTCTTCCACTGCACCATCATCCCAAGTATGTCTTTCTCCTCAGTTGCCTTGAAGACTTTTTGCTTTAGTGTAGGTTTCATTTTATTTGATTGTATGTGATTTGTTGACTCTGTCTTTGTGTTTCTTATGTTTGTGGTGTTAAACCCTTTTGCATTTGTAGATTATAGATTTCATCCATTGTGGGACATTTTGTGCTGTTCTTCAAATGTTTGTAGTCCTTATCCTCATTTCTTTTGGAAACTCCAGAGATGTGTGGGAGCACTTGAAATTGTCTTGGCTGCCCTGTGCTCTGTTTTGCTTGTAGATCATGTTTCCTAGTTACTGCTCTCTCTGTGACGCCAGTTGCCCTTAGCGCTCTCACTGCAGTTTCTGTCCCCCACACTGTGGTCTGTGTCTAATTGTCTGGGGTCTTCATGTCTCATATCCATGTTGCTCTAGCCCTGTTGCTGTGCTTTGGCACTAATTCTGGCTCTTCTCAGTTTAAGTTTTAGTTGACTGATTTGTTTTCTTTTTTTTATTTTATACAATATTTTTTAAAGATTTATTTATTTTATGTATATGAGTTCTCTATCTGCATGTACAACGTTATGCCAGAAGGGGGCACCAGATCTCATTACATATGGTTGTGAGCCACCGTGTGGGTGCTGGGAATTGAACTTAGGTCCTCCAGAAGAGCAACCAGTGCTCTTAACTCCTGGTTCGTCTCTCCAGTCCCATCTGATTGTTTTAATAGACCTTATATCATTTTGCTTTTCTGTAAATGTGGCAATTTCTGGTTAGATGCTAGACATTGTAGTCTTTTTTAGTTCCTATAAACATTTTGTTCTCAGAGCAGTTAATTGAAAACCATCTTGATTCTTTGAGGGAGGTGTGTTCTCATTCGCTCTTCTTTTTCTCTCACTCACTTCCCTCCTTCCCTTCTTCTTCCTTCCTTCTTGTTGGTTTGGAGTCAGGGTCTCATGTAGCCTAGATTGGTCTTGAACTTGCTATATAGCCAAAGTTGGCCTCAGACTCACCATGTGCCCAGAATAATCTTGAATCCTCCTGTTCCTGCCTCCTAACTTCTGGTGTCATGGACATGTGTCACCAGACCTGGCTTCAGAGTTTCTCAAGATTGGCTAGTAAGACCAGAATAGTGCTCCCTCTTTCTCACCGTTGAGGTAAGATCCTTTGTGTATTGTACTGAACATCCTGTGAATTGTGGGGTTTTCCACTCTATCTATTCTTGGCTAGTGTGAATACTGACCTTTCTTCTTTCCAGTTTTTCCACATACTTCTCCCCACCCCCTTTAGATGGCTTCCTTCCTTGTTCTTATATCTGGGTACTTGATGCTTGAGGATCCTCTGCCAGTGTCCAGAGCTCTCTCTGCATCTCTCTCCCCAGGACACTGCCTCTCTAAACTTTGGTCATTTTAGTCTCATTTTGAAGTTCTCACAGGATGTCTGCTGGCCTCTGTTTGTGGCCTTCTCTTGTTCTGTGACTTGAATTTTTTGATGTTTCCTAAGATCTGTATTTGACCTATTCAGCAAGCATTTGCCTGTGTCTGCTGTAGGTTGAGGAACTGGAGTGAATGAGGCCCCAGTCTCAGTCCTCAGGTGAGGCTAAAGAGATAGCATAAGCTTCCTACCATAAACCCACTGAGGCCCAGGTCAGTTCCTGACTTCCAACATAGGGAAGTGCAGCACGAATAATAAAAACACAGAGACAGATATTGGGGTTCAAGCTGAAGAGCAGAGAAACAAAACAGCCAGCCACTAAAGAAGTCTTAACCTCTACCAAGACTGGGCAACTGCCGACTGTACCCTGAGCCTCTGTCTTCTCCTGTTTTATATTTCCCTTTGGTACTGGATCTGTTTCTGTACTGATCTTGTATAGCCCAGGATGACCTTGAACTCACAGAGATCCACCTGCCTCTGTCTTCTGGGATTAAAGGTGTGACTTTACTGCCTGGCCTCTAGTGGCTTAATTTTAACCTCTGATCTTCAGGCAAACTTTATTTATTAAAACATAACTAAAATATAATGATTGGGAAGTTTCCTCAGGGCTTCAGTTAAGGACAGGAGCATGGAGACCATGATTTTATTTTTTTTTGAGACAGTCTCTCTACTAATTCTGACTGCATAGAAATCACTATCAGTCTGACCTTGAACTCACAGATATCCACCTGCCTCTGCTTCCCAAGTGCTGAGCTAAAGATGTATGCCACCACACCAGAATTAGATTGTTTTTTAATTAATTGATTTATAAACTGTTGCTTTCATGTTTCCTACTTTCAGTTCTAGCCAGTATGGTTTATTAATTTAGTCCTTGTTACTCCTTCTTGGAATAAAAAATGTTACTGCTTTAATTTTGAGTTATGTATTTTTAAAAATAAATACAATGAGGAATGGTGTTTGGCTATCAAGAGTTTGTACCTATTTTCCATTGTCTTGTGCCAGCTCTGGAAATTGTAATAACAGTATAACAAGTTGGAAGAGATAATACTTAGGAATGCTGTAACACTTAGCACAGTTCGTTCTCCATTGCTGAAATGTAATTTAGGTATAATGTTTTGGATTTTGGGGGGCAGGTATTAATCTTTACCTGTTTTAAAATGCTATTAGCTAGGTTCATTAATGCATGCCTACACCACCTACTTGGAAGGCCAATATAGGAAGATGACATAAGCCAGAAGTTCAGGATTCGCCTGGGAAGCATAATGAGACCCTATATCAAGAAATAATAATAGACTTTATTTTTAGAATAGTTTTAGGTTCACAGCAAAGTATAGACAGCTCTGGTGGAACTGTGCAGAGCCTTCTCAATGGGACTGTCCCCACCAGAGCCAAATAAATGCACTGAAGCCAGTGTGCTGGCTTTACCATAATCATCGTCACCTAAAACCCCTCATTGACATTCAGGTTCACTCTGTATGTTGTCCTGGCCTTCTGTTCTCTAACTGATGTATGCACAGCTTCCTTGCTTGTTCCAGTCATTGGCTCTTGGAGCGACTGTCATCTGGAAGCTGCAACTCTGACAGAACAGCCTCTCTGGTTTTACATTGCTTTAGGTCATGGCTCCAATAAACTTGTGTGATGGGGTCTGCCAGTTTCTCTGGCTTTCTGTGAATCCATATTCCTTTTCCATCTCTGTTTCTTCCATCCTGGTGGCTTCAGTTCCTAGAAGTCTCTGTTCTCCTTGTCTCCCTTCTGGTTCTTTCTTGTACATTTTGAATCTTAGTGTAAGCTCACTTCTCCTTGACCTCTGACCTCTTCCTCTCCCAGCTATCCCTGGGCCTGGTTTATCCCTACTTTGTCTAGATTTGTTTCTCACCATAAGACCAGAGTTTGTTAAAGTCTTCATTTGATTCTTATTCTGTGTAGAATAGGCTGTCTCACCCTGTTTACCACTGTGCAGACTTCTCTGGAAGTTGATCTAATGTCAAGCACTAGATGTGGAGGACTCAAACAGATGTTTCCACTCTGCAGCCTGTGTTCTGCATGCTTTTGCTGTCCTTCGCGGCCTGTATTTTAATGGCCTCCTCCAATTTAATTAGAATTAACTACAATGTAAATTTTCTTTCCTTTTTTTTTTTTTTTTTTTTTTTGAGACAAGGTGCCTCTGTGTAACCGCTGCCGTCACTATATAGACCATTCTGGCCTTAAAATCCCAGAGATCCCATCTGCCTCTCCTTGGGATTAAAGGCAGGGGCTACCTCAACCAGCCAACATAAGAATTTTGCATTTAGGGTTTAGGATACTTTCTAAAGATTAGTTATTAGGAGTGTTTTGTTGATTCTGGTGCTTCAACAATACTTAGTGTAATGGTAAAAATAAAATAGCACCGTTCCCCGAGGGGCAGTAGTGGGCAGCAGGTCCCAGGCAGGGAGCCAAGTGGCTGATGAGAGACCTCGGCAGGTGAGAGAGAGATGGATAGGCACACCATACAGAGTGAGGTTACATATTTATTTAGTTTTATTTAGTGGGTTACGGAGGGGAAAGAGAGGAGGAAGAGATGGGGGCGGGAAGGGGAGAAGAAAGAGGAAAAAAAGAGAGGAGCTCAGGCTGGAAGCCTCAGCTATAGGTCTAGAGTGGGGGGGGGAATGGGAGGGGGTGAGGGGGCGGGGCTTGTTTCTTAAAGGCACAGGACAGACCATTACACTTAATTTGTGTGGCATGACACCTGTTGTACATGTTAATACTAAAGGTTGTATGTGTACTACATATGCTTTTTGAGACAGAGTTTCTCTGTAGCTTTGGAGTCTGTCCTGAATGACCTCAAACTCACAGAAATCCAACTGTCTCTGCCTCCCAAGTGCTGGGATTAAAGACATGTGCGCCACCGCTGCCCAGTTTGTTTTTATTTTTGAGACGGGGTTTCTCTGTATAACTCTGGATGTCCTGGAACTCATAGCAGTCCACCTGCTGGTGCCTCCAAGTGCTGGAATTAAAGTGCATTACCACTAACCGGACTTTTTTTTTTTTTATTGAGATAGTCTCACTGTGTAGCCCAAGCTGCTCTCAAACTTGCAATGATCCCATTACTCTTCCTTTCCAGTGCTGAGATTATAGATGCGTGTCATTGTGCCTATCTTTAGAATAAAGTTTTAGTTGAAGGAGTATGTTACATTGTAGCATGAGTAATAAAAACCTAGAGACAGATATCAGAGGTCCACCCTGAAGGTCAGAAAAGCAAAACAACCAGCCACTAGCTTTTACCTCTATCTCAGACCAAAATGACAATCCTGACTCCAGGAATCTCAGAATGAGACTGGGAACTGTCTTCTCCTGTGTGTGTGTGTGTGTGTGTGTGTGTGTATGTGTGTGTGTGTATATATATATGTATATGTACATATATACACACATACATTTTTATTGATACTTATTGAGCTCTATATTTTTCTCTGCTCCCCTCTCTGCCTCTCCCCTCTCCCCTTCAGTCTTCCCCCAAGGTCCCCATGCTCCCAGTTTACTCAGGAGATCTTTTCTTTTTCTACTTTCTGCTTCCCATGTAGATTATATCTATGTAAGACTCTCCGCATTGTTGTCTAAGTTCTCTGGGATGGTGGTTTGTAGGCTGGCTTTCTTTGCTTTATGTTTAAAAAACCACCTATGAGTGAGTACATATGATAATTGTCTTTCTGTGTCTGGGTTACCTCACTCAAAATAATGTTTTCTAGCTCCATCCATTTTCCTGCAAAATTCAAGCTGGTTTTTTTTTCTGCTGTGTAGTACTCCATTGTGTAAATGTGCCACATTTTTCTTATCCATTCTTCAGTCGAGGGGCATTTAGGTTGTTTCCAGGTTCTGGCTATGACAAACAAAGCTGCTATGAACATAGTTGAGCACATGTCCTTGTGGCACGATTGAGCATCCTTTGGATATATGCCCAAAAGTGGTATTATTGGGTCTTGAGGAAAGTTGTTTCCTATTTTTCTGAAAAATCGCTACACTGATATCAAAAGGGGTTGTACCAGCTTGCATTCCCACCAGCAATGCAGAAGTGTTCCCTTTACCCCACAACCTCTCCAGCATAAGTTGTCATCAGTATTTTTGATCTTGGCCATTCTTACAGGTGTAAGATGGAATCTCAGAGTTGTTTTGATTTGCGTTTCTCTGATGACTAAGGATGTTGAACATTTAAGTGTCTTTCAGCCATTTTAGATTCCTCTGTTGAGAGTTCTCTGTTTAGGTCTGTACTCCATTTTTTTTTTATTGGATTATGTGATCTTTTGGTGTCCAATTTCTTGAGTTCTTTGTATATTTTTGAGATCAGACCTCTGTCTGATGTGAGGTTAGTGAAGATCTTTTCCCATTCTGTAGGCTGTCGTTTTGTCTTGTTGACCATGTCCTTTGTCTTCTCCTGTTTTATATTCCTTTCTAGGGCTGGGATTAGAGGTGTGCACTACTACTGCCTGGTTTCTATGGCAAACTAGTGTGGCTACTGGCTTTAAAGGTGTGTGTCACCATTGCCGGGTCTGTAAGACTGACCAGTGGGGCTATTTTACTCTCTGATCTTCAGGCAAGGTTTATTTATTAAAATACAAATGAAATATTATATTACATTACATAACAGTGTCAACAGCTTAATTTTAAGATTCATTGTTCTATATCATTAGATTCTGGAAGTAACAGGTTTTCTGCACCATTCTCAGGGACCATTTTTGCATATGGACAGACTGGGACAGGCAAGACTTTCACCATGGAAGGTGTCCGTGCCGTGCCGGGGCTCAGAGGAGTCATACCCAACTCATTTGCTCACATATTCGGTCACATTGCAAAAGCAGAGGGGGACACGAGGTGAGCAGTGCTTCCTTTCCAGACCCGGGAACGGCACCAGATTTATAAACACACTTAAGACAGTGAGTATTCCTTTGTACTTGCAGGTTTTTGGTTCGAGTGTCATACTTGGAGATATATAATGAAGAAGTTCGAGACCTTTTGGGCAAGGATCAGACACAGCGGTTAGAGGTAAGAATGAAATTAGAGTTAAGATAAAAGTTGGAGGGCAGGGTGTAGTGGTGCATGCCTTTAGTCCCGGTACTCAAGAGGCAGAGGCAGACGGATGTCTGTGAGTTTGAGGCCAGTCTGGTCTATAGAGAGAGTTCCAGAACAGTCAGGGCTACACAGAGAAACACTGTCTTAAAAAAAAGGAAAAAAAATTGGCCAGACTGTTGTCATAGATGAGTGCCTAGCCCAGTTGTCACCAGAGAGGCTTCCTCCAGCAGCTGATGGGAGCAGATGCAGAGACCCCCAACCCAAACATTAAACAGAGCTTGGGGAACTCTGCATAAGATGGGGAGGAAGGATTATAGAAGTCAGAAGGGTTGAGCACACCAGAACACGGTCCACAGAATCAACTAAGCTGGGCTCATAAGGCTTCACAGAGACTGCAGCAATAATCAAGGAGTTTGCCTGGGTGCTAGGTCTTCTTCACACACGCTGTGCTAGTTTAGCCTGGGGTGTTTTTGGGGCTCGTAAGAGTGAGAGTAGAGGTGTCTTAAACTTTTTTTTTAAATATATATATATTAAAAAAAACTTACTTCTGATATATATATATATATATATATATATATATATATATATATATAAAGCTTTCATTTAGTGTATATTGGGGTTTTGCCTGTCTGTGTGAAGGTGTCAGATCCCCTGAAACTTGAATTACAGGTGGTTATGAGCTGCCATGTGGGTGCTGGGAATTGAACCTGAGTCCTTTGGAAGAGCAGCCAGTGCTCTTAACCTCTGAGCCATCTCTCCAGCTCATGTTTGACTCTTTTATCTGCTCTTGGGATCTTTTTCCTTCTACTGGGTTGCCTCATCCAGCCTAGATATGAAGGTTTGTACTTTGTCTTGTTGCATCTCTGTCTTAGTTAGGTTTTTATTGCTGTGAAGAGACACCATGTCCATAGCAATTTTTATAAAGAGAACATTTAATTGGGGTGGCTCACTCACAGTTCAGAGGTTCAGCCCATTATCATCATGTTGGGGAGCATGGCAGCATGCAGGCAGATGTGGTGCTGGCTACATCTTGACTGACAGTCATCCTAAGGGAAGCTTGCACAAGAGAGACCTCAAAGCCCATACCAACAGTGATGCACTCCTCCAACAAGGCCACACCTCCTAATGGTGCCACTCCCTTTGGGGGCCATTTTCTTTCAAACAACCACACTTGTGCTGTGTTCTGTTGATATCACTGGGAGGCCTGCTTTTTTTCTGAATGGAAAGGGAGGAACAGTGGAAGCAGGGAGGAGAAGGGAGGAATCAGGGACAGGAGGAGATGGGAAGTAGAGACTGGAAGGAGTGGAGGGAGGAGAGGCTATGGTTGGGATGTATTGTATGAAAATAAATAAATAAATAAATAAATAGAAACATGAAAACAAATTGGAATAGAGTGCTTGCCAGACTAAGGTCCTTTTTGTACAAAGAGTACTAACAAAAATTACCTGCATCTGCCACAAATACAAACCCATCTGAGCATAAGTCACTGAAGCACAGCTGCTGAGTCGGGTGGTAAATTTGGGAGATATTGGCATCTTAAAAATATTTTTTAAGGTATTTATTTATTATGTATACAATATTCTGTCTGCGTGTATGCCTGAAGGCCAAAAAAGAGCACCAGACCTCATTACAGATGGTTGTGAGCCACCATGTGGTTGCTGGGAATTAAACTCAGGACCTTTGGAAGAGCAGGCAATGCTCTTAACCTCTGAGCCATCTCTCCAGCCCCTTAAAAATATTTTAAGATGCAAGACAAACAAGGAAAAATGAACCTTTTAAATACTAGTATTGGGTTTTTTATTTTTGTAAGTGCCTGGCTTGATTTTTCTATTTGAATATCCTTGCCAGTGTTCTCCTACCTCAAACCAGTCTGCCTTCTATTTTTGCAAGTTTTAGGTTAAATATCACATTGCTGAAGCTCACCCTGGGCCCTTTACTAGCTTGTCCTTGAGTACATTCCCAGGGTGGCAAGATGGTTCAACAGGTAAAGGGACTTGCCTCTGAGCCTGAGGATTCACATGGTGGAAGGAGAGAACCAACTCCCACGTGCTGTCTTCTGACCTGTGTGCCCTGCGTGCACCACATGCATGCACGCACGCACTCGTGCAGTTTTTAGTGAACTGTCCTCTCACTGTCTTGTATTTTATTCATGGCGTCACAGATAATTTGTGTGCAGCGTGCATTTGTGCTAATGCACTATCACCTGTGTGAGTGCGGTTCATAGCCACACTTCGCTTTCTTCCCTTGTATGACAGTAGATGCTCAGTATACAACTGGAAAACTTACGTCATAAATATAGCCTTAGGCATGATTTGTGTTTGCTTTTTAGGTTAAAGAAAGGCCTGACGTGGGAGTGTATATCAAAGATTTATCAGCTTATGTGGTCAATAATGCTGACGATATGGATAGAATCATGACACTGGGCCATAAAAATCGTAAGTGTGTTACATAACTGTGATGAAGTGCCTGTATTCGAATGCTGGTTAAGAAGCAAATAAATACAACTTTTGCCCTGTAGAGGTTGATTTTTTTTTTTAAAGTCCATTCTTTTTATTTACTATCTAGGGAGCATATGTGAGTGACCAATAACATAGATTGTTTTTATGCTGACTGAAGTTTTCTTTTTATTAATACCAATTCTTCCTTATTTATTTGTTTGTTTGTTTGTTTGTTTATAGGCAGGGTCATACTGTCCTAGTGAGACTTTATTTTATTTATTTTTTTGTTTTTTTGAGATAGGGTTTCTCTGTGTAGCTTTGAAGCCTGTCCTGGAACTCACTCTGTAGACCAGGCTGGCCTTGAACTCACAGGCCTCTGCCTCCTGAGTACTGGGATTAAAGGCGTGTGCTACCACCACCCAGTGACTTTATTTATTTTTATTTTATGTATATGACTATGTTGCCTGTATGCATGTAAGTGCACCACATGTATGCATTGCCCACAAAGGCCAGAAGAGGGCATAAGATTTCCTGGCACTGGAGTTACAGATAGATTGTAATCAGTCAAGCTAGTGCTGGGAACCAAACCCAGGTCCTCTGAAGAGCAGTATATGCTTAACTGCAGAGTCATTTCTTCAGCCTCTTTTTTCATCAGTTTTTTATTTTCTTGATATTGGATTCTCTACATAGTGTTGGCTGCCCTGGAACTCACTGTATATACACTGTATACCAGGCTGGCCTTGTACTCACAGAGATCCGCCTGTTTCTACCTTCTAAGTGCTGGTATTAAAGGTGTGTGCCACCAAGCCCAGCTCTCCAGCCTCTTAATAGCCAGGCTTTGAAGCTGTCATACTGTTAGAGCTTGCTAGTTAAAATACAGCATTTTGTTTGAGCACTTAGTGGGGAGTGCTTTGCTGTGTACTTTATCAGGATGATCAGTCTTCACTGAAGTCTATGGGGATATAAAGTTCCTCCTTTATGAGTGAGGAAACTGAGATGTAGTTTAAATACCATGTCTAAGGTAATACAATTGCTACGCGGTAGGGTGAGTGTTAGCTAGAATATATACTGCCTCCCTTCTGTTGAAAAGATAAGCAAAATTAAACCAACTTTTCTATCTGGGGGGGAAACGCATGCTTTCTACTGGTTGCTTGATAAGAAAGGAACTTCAACTTAAATAATCTGTTTCTTGACAGTCTCTCTTTACATAATACATCCCTGTCCTGCTGAGTTACATATTTTCCATTCAGTTACATCTCTTTACTGCTGCATATTTCTCTTCACACACACCCACTCTCACACTCATTCACGTACACACACTTCTCTATCTTCTCTCGCTTTACTCATCACTCACTCATCCATTCCCTCACACTTCTCACGCGTCCTCTCTTCATCTCTCACAATTCTCTCTCCCCCAGCAGCCGTCTTTCTCTCTCTACATCATCGTCCTCTCCTCTCCCACAGCCAAACTCTGGACAGTTAATTATAAGTTACATTTTCAGGGCCCGACGCATATTCAAAACCCAAGATAAGTCATGTAGTTTCTCTTACACTAGGGATGTCACAGTAACCGGCCAGTGAACAACTGGCCTTACACGAAGCTCTAAGTTGGTGAGGGTTCCCAGACAGTAAACAGTTGACTGAACCTTGAGGCTGGGGAGTACATACAGACTAATGTTGCTTCAGGCTCTGGTCTTGAGTCAGTAAAACAACACCTGGGAAAATGACCTCATGTATTTGTCTCTAGGGACAACCAGATAGTCTCTAGGGGCAGACAGCCTGCTTTGAATCTGCTCTGAAGTCTAAAGTTACTGTCTGTGTAAAGGCTGTCTTTGTGACTGAGAACCCTGTGTCAGTCTGAGTAATAGAAAATACCTTAGTGTTATTTCTGTTCATCAGAATTAGACAGTAGTAGGAGTCATCTTCCTGACCATCCACAGCTGTGTGTGCCCAGTGGATGGAATACTTTCATGAGATAAACACACAAGCAGTGGGAATGCACCCAAAGCTATTCTTAGGGAAGAAATGAAGTGACTCATGAGAGAAACTATAGACAGGATCAATTGGTTTCCAGAGCCAATGACCCCATGGCCTTTCTATCTAGGTGGGGCTCCCCACAAGGTAACCATGTGTCAGATGAGTTGGCTTGTTAAACACTAGCTAATTGTCACTACTGTACATTCCCATGGCCTTCTATACCCAGTGTTCCAGAGGCAGAGGAGATGGACCTCTGAGATTGAGGCCAGCTTTGTCTACATAGGGAGTTGTAGACCTGACACAACTGTCTTGCCCATTCTAGCCTCAAACTTGTGATCCTCCTCCCTCAGCCCCCTAAGTACTAGGATTATAAGAATAAACCTCGACACTGATTGCTTAGCTTGTCTTAAAATTTTTGTTTGTTTACTTTTGATTTTAGCAGAAGTCTCACAGGTAGTTCTGGTTGGCCTGGAACTTGATATATACATGAAGCTGATTCATAGTTTCACCTGCTTCTGCCTCCTAAGCACTGAGATTAAAGACATGCACCATCCATGCCAAACTCTTCTTGGTTTAACAAAGTTCCTGTGGAATTGGCATCTTTTGATGTTGCTGGATATGGATCTACCTCATGTGTGTGTGTGGTTTTAAAGATTTATTTTAATAGATAGATAGATAGATAGATAGATAGATAGATAGATAGATAGATAGATAGATAGATAGATAGATAGTATTTTCTCTGCATGTATGCCTGCAGGCCAGAAGAGGGCACCAGATCTCATTACAGATGGTTGTGAGCCACCATGTGGTTGCTGGGAATTGAACTCAGGACCTCTGGAAGAGCAGCCAGTGCTCTTAACCTCTAAGCCATCTCTTTAACCCCACATCGTGTTTTTAATGATCGTTTAGTGACTTAACTATTCTATAGTAGATTAAACAATGTTGTGTTTTATCTTTCTGGTCTCACTGTTTTAAATAGTGTTGTACTGATTTCTAATGTGTGTGTGCGCCCAAATCAGTCTGTGGTTTAGAGTCCCAAACAAAATTCTCTCTGGAAAGAGTTGTCAGCAATTTTTTCCCATTTATTTATTTGTTTGTTTGTTTATTACAGTGTTCTTGTCTGCATGCATGCCTGCAGGCCAGAAGAGGATGCCAGATCTCATTACAGATGGTTGTGAGCCATCATATGGATGCTGGGACTTGAACTCAGGACCTCTGGAAGAGCAGCTGGTGCTTTTAACCATTGAGCCATCTCTCCAGCCCCTTTCCCAATTATTAAACATGTGTTTCTTTTTGAGGTGTAATTTTTTTCCAAGAGAGATCTTGCTATGTTGCCAAGGCGCTGGCCTAGGTCACTGGGTTGATATATTCTCCTGCCTTGGTCTCCTAAGTACCTACTACCATGTCCAGCTTCATAGGTAGCTAGAATCTTTAGATAGTAATATTTGGGAATAGGTTGAAGACTGTTATTCTATTATTATATTTTTGTATTTGGGAGTGAAGTGAAGAATGTTATGCTATAATTATGTTTTAACGTGAGTACAGTAGTATACAGTGGCCAAACATACTTGTAGTTTGTAGTCAATCATACTCAGTGGCTTTGACTGTGATAAAATCAAGTATTTTAAATATTTGGGATATTTAATTATTAAAGGTACACTCTCTGGGCTGAGGATAACTCAGTTGGTAGAGTGCTTATCTAGCATGCATGAGCCCTGTGTCAATCCCCAGCACTCTATAAGCTGGGTGTGGTGGTACTCAGGAGGTAGAGAGATCTGAGATCAAAGTTCAAGGACAGCCTGGGCTACAGAACACCCTGTTGAAACAAATAAAGAAAAAAGTAAACAAAACCATTCTGCTACAGTTTTTAAGGGTTTCTTTTCTTTGTTAAAGGTTCTGTTGGTGCAACTAACATGAATGAGCACAGTTCAAGGTCCCATGCCATCTTTACAATTACTATAGAGTGTAGTGAGAAAGGTGTTGATGGAAACATGCATGTCAGGATGGGGAAGCTCCATCTTGTGGATCTCGCTGTAAGTAACAGTACGCTACTTTCTCCCCTAAAGATTGATTTATTTATTATGTATGCAGTGTTCTGCCTGCATGTGTGCTTGCAGACCAGAAGAGGGCACCAGATTTCATTACAGCTGGTTGTGAGCCACTGTGTTAGCACTGAGAATTGAACTCAGCACCCTTGGAAGGGCATTCAGTGCTCTTAACCTTTGAGCCATTTCTCTAGCCCACAGGATGCTACTACTTAAGGGAGAGTTTTCCCTGTGCTCCAGTTGTCTGTTAATAAAAATTAAAGCCAAAAGGTATAGCGTACATGTGATTTTAAATTGCTTATTATTCTGGGATATCTGACAGTAGATATAGTAGCATTGTGACTGCGCTTTTTTTCCACCTACTGCCTAGACTTTTTTGTCTGTTCTTCTTCCCTTATTGTTTTGAAGTGAATTCCAGATGCTACATGGAATATTTTAAATTACTTTTAAAAACCCAGATTTTAGAAAAGTGCTTCTTGGTTTTAAAAAACTTTACTTTAGTTTTTATCTGTTTATTGCTAGGGGTCAGAAAGACAAGCGAAAACTGGAGCCACAGGACAGCGCCTCAAGGAAGCTACGAAAATCAACCTTTCACTCTCCACCCTGGGCAACGTCATCTCTGCCTTGGTGGATGGGAAAAGCACGCATGTGCCATATCGGAACTCTAAACTGACGCGTCTTCTGCAGGATTCCTTAGGAGGGAACTCAAAAACCATGATGGTAAGACTTCAGTCATGGCATAGTTAATTTGTCTAAGGCAAATTTAAGATTCTAATTTATTTCCATAATTGATGTGAATAGCATTTTACAAATCGATTCCTTTTCTTTGTATATCACAAAATGTAATTGCCTGTGGTTGTATTGTTTCCATACCTATATGATTGATACTGGTTTTTCGAAGACCAAACTGCATATGTAGTTTGGGCATTTGTTTTGGTAATGATGATGTTAGTAGCCGTGTAGAATGATTTACGTTTCTAATTCAACAGTGTGCAAATATTGGGCCAGCAGATTATAATTACGATGAAACCATCAGTACCTTGCGATATGCCAACCGAGCCAAGAACATTAAAAACAAAGCAAGAATTAACGAAGACCCTAAGGACGCTCTGCTTCGTCAGTTTCAGAAAGAAATAGAAGAGCTGAAGAGGAAGCTTGAGGAAGGTAACTTCTCATAAAGCTTACTGCAGTTGAGGCTGCTGCTGACCACTGCATTTACTTCCAAAACAACCTGCCAAGCAATAGCCTCTAACACTGACATTTAAGGTATCTTATGTATGTGCCTCTGTGTGTGCTGGACATGTGTGAGTGCAAGCACACTCATCAGAGGACACCCGTGGGAGCTGATTCTCTTCTTGCACTATGGTTTTTGGAATTGAACTCATGTCAGACTTAGAGAGCAAATATTTTACCTCCTGAGCCCCTTGTTAGATTCTAACGTTGACATTTAAAAATACTATTTCTGAGGAATATGAGTCTTCTAAGAAAATGGTTTTTTTTCCCCTTTTTTTCTTTTTTGGTTTTTCTGTGTTTTTCTGTGTAGCTTTGGAGCCTGTCTTGGAACTCGCTCTATAGACCAGGCTGGCCTCAAACTCACAGAGATCCGCCTGTTGCCTCAGCCTCCCGAGTGCTGGGATTAAAGACACGCGCTACTACCACCTGGCAAGAAATGTTTCCTAAGACCATCTAGATTACAAAGTTTGAAGTCCCAACCCCTGATGGTGGTGGCAGCCTTTATTCTCAGCACTTGGGAGGCAGAAGCAGGCCAATCTCTGAGCTTGAGGCCAGCCTGGTCTACAGAGTGAGTTCTAGGACAGCCAAGGCTACACAGAGAAACCCTGTCTTGAAAAACCAAAACAAAAAAAGGAAAGTTTGAAGTCCCAACTGATGGTGATGAGGAGCTTCCTGATCAGTTCTGGAATTCCCACTCCTTACAGGGGATGAACCCTCTCTGACTGGTGCAGGACTCCTGTGCAGCAGGTGAAAGGCCTGGAGTCCAAGCCATTGGAGTCTCTGGGGGAGACCCAGAGACCACTGGTGTGTCTGGGGTAAAAGCCAGGTTCTGAGAAAAAGCCTGAGAACCACTTCACAGATAGTAAAGTTGTCGTTTTTAAATGGCCACTAGGTGGCATTTGTAGCCAATTTGTTTTTAAGACCTTTTATTCCCCAATTAGTGCTGAATGCGTGCCTTCATTTTGATGATTTCATTTCCTTCCCCTCTCTCTCTGCCTCTCCTTTCCTCCCTCCCTCTCTCCCTCTTTCTCTCTTTCTCTCCTTCTCCTTCTCCCCAGGGTTTCTCTCTGTAACCCTGGCTATACTGAATTTCACTATGTAGACCAGGCTGGCCTCAAACTCAGAGATCCACCTGCTGTCTCTGCTTCCCAAGTGCTGGGATTAAAGTCGTGCGCCACCACTGCCAGGAGTTCCTGCACCTCTTAGTCCTTGTGATGGCGTGGCTGTGCACATTGGGCAGACATGTTCCAGTCCCCGTGTATGTTATGTGGGGCACGCAGCCAGAGGCAGTCGTATGGTCATAGTCTCTGTGATGTGTTCCACTTCATTTTTATTCTTCTGACCCTATGCTCAATAGGCAAAGGCATTAGAGGACTTTTTTGTTTGTTTTGTTTTTGTTGTTTTGAGACAGGATTTCTCTGTTTAACAGCTCTGGCTCTTCTGGAACTTGCTTTGTAGGCCATGCTAGTCTCAAATTCACAGAGATATGCCTGCCTTTGCCTCCTGAGTGCTGGGATCAAAGTACTCCACCACCACCCGGTTAATTATCACATTTTTTAAAATGCAAATGCTAGCATGTAATTCTTGTGCATGTTTATACCTGTACTCACCAGATTTTAACTTCTTTTTCAGGACTATAAAATAAAATTTATAACTAGGCATGAAGGTACATCTTTAAACCCCAGCACTCAGGAGACAAATGCAGCCAGAATGCTGTGAGTTCCAGGCCAGCTGGAACTACATAGTTAGAGCCTGTCTCAAAAATTAATGTTTCTAAGAAAGTAAAATAAAATTTCTGTGTACATTGTGTGTGGTTTCATGTGACTATGTGCACGTGTGCATGTTTAGAGACGAGGACAGAATGTGTCCAAATACTGTTTATTTTTTTGTTGGGCGAGGGGAAGACAGGTTCTCTCATAGACCTGGAACTCCCCAAGCTGGGCTGGCTTGTCAGCAAACTCCAGGGATCCCCAGTCTACACCTGCTTGTCAGATACACTGTGAACATTTAAGTAGATATTCAATTTGTGTTTGAGCAACAGAACTGTAATGAATTGAATGGATGTAGGCATTTTCAAAATAGCCAGTGACTTGATACAGACTAAAAATCGTTAAATTTCTGTCCAAGGGGAAGAAGTTTCAGGCTCTGACATCAGTGGGTCAGAGGAGGATGATAATGAGGAGGGTGAACTTGGAGAAGATGGAGAAAAAAGGAAGAAGAGAAGGGGTAAGTTCTGTTCATGTCTGATCGGTCACAGTTGGCTAGAATGGCTCCCTGATGATGGTCACTGTATAGCTGGCGTTTTAAATTATGGTGTTGGTTCCAGCAGGGACCTTATGCTATGTATGGTTAACTTTGTAAACATTCTCTCTTGTTTGTTTTGCTTACCCAGGATGCCATATCGTCTTGTAAAATTTTAAGTTTGAAACTGTGGTAGTAGATATACTATTTTTCAGTTTTACATCTGTGTTAGGTCCCTATCGGTTTTTGAAACTAGGATAACGTGGGATTTTTCTTCACGTGATATTAGTCTTTAAAAATAATTTGCAGGTGGTGAGCTTGCATGAGGAATACAGCTTTTCACTGAAGTCCATCCTTTCTTTTTTTTATTTTTTTATTTTTTTTATTTTTTGTTTTTTTTTTTGAGACAGGCTTTCTCTGTGTAACAACCCTGGCTGTCCTGGAACTAGCTCTTGTAGACCAGACTGGCCTTGAACTCAAAGAGATCCTTCTGCCTCCTAAGTGCTGGGATTAAAGTCATGTGCCACGACCGCCCGCCCCCCAAGTTCTTTCTTTGTAAACTGTGTGGCATTCTCACCCTTTGGAACAGCTTCCAGCGTGAACTGCTTTGCTGAGGCTGCAGAGGGCAGGGAGAAAAGAAGGTCCCTGCCTCATTTCAATCTTAGAGTGCTCCTCAGCTCCTGCAGGCTGCTGCACAGTCATAGTTAATCAGTCTTGTTGAAAACAAGCCCATCACTGCTCCCAGGGAGCCTAAATTAAAAACTGAAGATTTTGTACATCCAGAAGACAGAAAAAGCACCAAGTAGGGCAGAAGTTGGGAAATACAGTGTGCTGGTCAAATCCATGTGGAGCCTTTTTTTTTTTTTTTAAATAAAATGTTCTTAAAGCAGCCACAATCATTTGTTTACATGTGATCTATGACTCTTTCACATCAAAACACGTGACCTGATTCTTTGCAAAAACTGTTTATCAGTCTCTGACTTAAAAAGTGTTTTTATTCATAGATAGTTTTTCAGAGTAAAATAATGTTTTTTTACTTGAACTGATAGTAGACTTACTAAAAATAAATTTATGTAGAAAAAAGTGCCACGGTTTAATATGTTTAAATACTTTAAATATGTCTTAACTTGTGCTGAGAAGCTTAACATTTTTCTCTGAGCCTTGTTAATTATGCTGTCAAGCTTTAGGCATAAGTAAAATCTGGTAGCGTGTTTTCGGGGGATGGGGACTTGGAGACAGTACCTTGTCTATAATGAAGGGGAGCTGATTTCAGTAATGTGAATTGTGTGATTTTTACATTTTAAAGCTGTTTCTTTTTCTTAGCAGTATCTATAGACTTGTATGTCACTTGGTGACATTTTTGTCATTTCAACCCTCTGAATAATTATGTTCAGATGAGTAGTGGGGTTTGCACTACTGCGGATCTGTAAAGAAATGCAGTTTTAATCCCGCATGGCTTTGTGACAAGGAAGCAGCTGGACTTAGTTGTAAGCTAGAGTCGCTCTTGAATGCAAAGCTTGATTGTCCTCTAAATTCTTCCTACAGAACTCAAGTTTTCTCTGTGTATTTTTGTTCATTTCTTGTTCCCTCTCTCTGGTTCCGTGGGCTCGTTTCTTTGTCTTCCAGGCAGTAGCAGCAGCAGTAGCTCAGACTCCACATGTTCTGTCATAGAGAAGCCTCTGGATGAGTTCTTGCCTCGTGAGTGGCGGCCCTCACCTTCTCTAACAGAGCTCTGGCTTCTCCATCACTCATGGGCTTCATTTGAGAGATGCTGCCCCACTCCCTGTCATGACTGGTTCATGTTGGGCTCCAGGAGAAAAGCATGTGGCCCCACCCTGCCATGGCTTCAGTTAACTGTGAAACATAGGCCAGAGCCTATGTTTGAGACAGTGAAAGAAAGAATCATGCTTTTGCTGCTGAGATAATGTCAAGAGAGCTAGTAAGCTGTGTGAAAGAATAATTCTCAAGATTCTTTTTTATGCCTCATTATATGTTTTTAATTCTGGTCAGTGTAAGAGATGTGAACAACACATCTTAAATATCTACGAGTACAAATTAATGTTTGTTGGTGCAGCGGCGCACAGTGTAGCAGGCCATATATGCTTCAAATAAAGGATGAGTGAAGCTAAGGCAGGTGAAGAGGACTGAGTATCACGTCATCCCAACTGGATGCTTCCCCACTCCTAATACCAGGTCAATTCTGAGACTCTTTCTGAGATGTGATTAGAAAATTCGGAGTCACACAGAGTACATAAAGTCTGTCTAGACTTCTTTAGTCTTAGATTTTTTTAAACTGTAAGTTAAAAAGCATTATTTAATTTTGTCTATTTCTACTTTCAGAAGAAAATGGAAGTGATGCTTGCTTTCACCACCTTGCAGCTTGCTGTCTCTTAAAACATTATCTGTGTCCTTACCTTTTCCAGACTAATGGCAAAAGCCATTGCTTTTAGCTTTACTAGGGAAAATCTCAAGAATCTCAAGACACTGTGTCTGTTGACACTGTTGAAGCAAATTACCAGACAAGCTGACCTCACCGGATAATTTATAAAATACATGGCATTGTTCAGACACCACATAGAAGCACAGTTTTGTAATATAAACTGTGAAATGAGAGAAAATATATGAGAGGAAGCATTGTAATTTAGTTTTCTGTTCCTAACACTTACCATTCTTAGAGAGTAGTTATATGAAAGTAAGTTACAAAATGAGTTGCACCTTATTCAATTCAAGACTTTTTTTTTCCAATTCAAGAAGCTTTAATTGCTGTTTTCATACCTAACATTTAACTTTTGTTGTCATAACATGGATGCGTTGGGGACGTGGAGAGATTATTGTCCCAGCATGTGGTTGCTGTGTGTAACTTGTGTGTATTACCCCTCCCATTAAATATGAATGGCCATTCAATGTCCCTTGCTTGAATCATCAGCTGTCATTTATTTATCTAGTCATTATTTAATCACCCAGAACAATCAACACATAGGCTGAATGTAAGTTTGCTACTATACAGGTGCACTTCATTTTACGTATTTAGGGAGAGCTGCTTACAAATCAAGTTAGGAAATAAAATATTGTGGACTTACTGCCTTTAAAATTCATTAACCCTGTTGTTAATCTCACGACCAGTATAAACTTGTGCAAAATAGTTTATCTGTTTAGTTACTTCAGGTCTACCTGGCGGATTTTCTTAAAATGGGGAACACCTGTAATGGGTCTTTATATAGGAGAAACATTGAATTGGGAAATTTTGGAGATGGACAGTGAGAGCTTTGTTACTTTTAACTTGCGAATTTTAAAAATTTACTTCATTTTTGGTTTTGCTCTTTTAGATATTTTTGCAGGTCTCAGTAGGTTCCCAATTCCATGTCTGTAATCCATCAGCATATGCACTGAGCTAGTCCACTTGCAGGGGCACTGTGGGCACCTGGGATTGTGTGGGAACCACAGAGGGGATTGATTGCGTCTAGCATTCGTGATGTCTTCTTATGGTACATGCTTTCTTTTTCTGTGGACTCTATTTCAGTTTTGATTATTTGATTCATGTCTTTGCTCATGCCAAGTGAATGCTGTTACACATTTTCTCTGTTTTACAAAGGAAATAATGTTTTCCTTTCTTCCCTCTTCATCTCTGTGCACATGCTTCCTGTCTGCGACTCGCTTACCGCTTCTTTGCAAGACCAAGCAGGTTGGTGTGATTGGCTCGCACTCCACGTGGTGCAGTTTCTCATTCTCTCAAGACCTTTTATTTAAGTTCTTCACATTTTTTTTAATTTAATAATTTTTACAAGGTAAGTATCTGTCTTTTTTTTTAATTCCATTTTAACTACTTTAAAAAACTTTCCCCCTAAATCCTTAATGATCTACTAAACGAATTTTTGAAAATACACTTATAATTGATTTGACATTCAGGCCAAGAGTCCCCACCATGGGTGCTTGTGATGCAGATCCATTAGTGCTACCCTAACACCCACCCTGCCAGGGCACCTTCACCCAGGTAGCACCTGGCAAAGGGGAAGGGAAAGGCTCACTACCTCCCTTTGACATCAGAATGCCTTTTTAAGATTTCTTTTTTTTTCACCTTAGACAGGGTTTCTATGAGTAACAGCCCTGGCTGTCCTGGAACTCGATTTGTAGACCAGGTTGGCCTTGAACGCACAGAGATCCTTCTGCTTCTGTCTCCCAATACTGGGTTAAAAGTGTGTGTCACCATCACCCAGCTGCCTTTTTAGATTTATTTATTTAAAATTTTTGTGCAAAGTTTTATCATGGGGAACTAGAAAAGTTTCTTAGATTGTTTTTATTTTTTTTTTAAGTTGATTTGGTTGAGGAGACTGCGTATGTGTATATTGTCCTGGGAAGGAACCCTGGGCTTTGCACCTGGTGGCCAAGGACTGAGCTACGTCCCCATCTCCTTTTAAAAATGTCTTTAGAAGCACATGTAGTCTCTTATCCCATTGGAGGGATGGATGCGCTCAGTGGCTGCACAGGGGCACAGGCCACTTCAGGCTCCTGGCAGCTCCTTCCCAGTGGAGGCTAAGACTTGTAGATTTGTATCCAGGGGAGCACAGGCTAAGGATTAAGGCATTAAGGAATGCCTTAAAGATCTATGTACAAGTTACTCTTGATCACCAAATTTTTACTTTTTACACAGTCACATTTAACTTAAAGTATTATTTGAAAAATGATACCATGGCTTGTCACGGTGTTTCTGCCTAGAGCCACATGGGACTTGAGTGTGTAGACTTTTGAACTAACCCTAGATGTATAGAGAATGTCTTCGTGAAACCTTCCTGAGCACAGTGAGACACCTACTTCTAAAACATGGGTTTAAAGGAATTACTATGCAAGACAATCAATTCATCAAGAGACAGTGTTTATTTTTATGTGCAAGCCTTTTTGTATTACTCCCTCCTGATGGGTTTTTGGAACTCTTTATAACTATTAGCAAAATAAAACACTACAAGTCCAAAATTCATTTATTGACCTAATCATGTAGTCTGTGCCCTTAGTACCCATGCCTTCTGCACATACTATTTTGGTTTTAATGTATTTGCAATTTTTCTCTAAACATTTGTAATCCTGAGGTGGAAGTTACATACATGTTTTATTGTTGCATATACTTCCTGAAAACCTCAACTTAGACTTTTCTTCTCAGATTTTTAGTAAGTATTAATATGGATAGAAAAATCTTTTCAAGTAATTCAATTGGGAATCGAAGTTAATTTATTTGTGAAAATTTTTCTTCTACAGCGTAATTCAGAACGTTCAAGGCAGGTGGCAGTGCCAGTAGGCTCGGGCCCACCTCTGACACGGAGTGCAGTGAATCACACCACACCAACTGCCTGGATCACAGCTCTTAGTTCCTCTTTGGTTTTGTGCCTAGATTTTGCTTTAGACTTTGGTTCTGTAGAAGGAAGGATGCCATTAAACCCTTGAGGTCCTAATGAGATTTTGTCTCAAGTTGAAAAAGCTTGTGCATGACCCTGCCTTTCATGAGTCCTACAAGAATATACTCAGATCTGTGGTGTAATCATGATTGTTTTTCAGTTCCTTTTCCTTCATAGCAGGAGGAGCTGGGTTTGGGGTGGAAACATTAATCTATAATTCTCTATCCTCGTCCCTCGGGAAGGAAGTTGAGAATGGCAGACTCTCAGGAGAGCCTCAGGTCTGACAGTTCTGTGAAATGCTTGTTGTTCCGACGGAGCACGTTTCTAAGAACTTGCATCAACCAGAAATGAACTGTCATTGGCTCAGTTTCAGAACCGTTTTAATAAGCTAGTGTTTGTTTTCTCTTTCTGATTTTTTTTCATCTAATTTCATGGCTTTGAGGTTCACGGATGAACTTTGTGTGAGCACACTGCATACATACACCTACACATGCTTGGGCATTGCAGTCAGTTGGAAGCTGCATTCCATCTTATTAGTTGGTAGTGCTTCTACTGACTGTTGTTTCTTAGCATATTTGATCAGAGTTAGGGACTTTGATGGTCTAGTGTGACATAGTAAGTTACTTTGGTGGCTCATATATGATTTACCAGTGCAGCTTATCAGTGTAAAACACCTGCCTTAAATGAGTAACTTACATAATGGCTGTGAAAATGATTGAAGAATCATTTTCCTTTTTAGCCTCTCTGCCCCATTTGGGGACCCACAAGCTTTGCTTTTTTATTTGGCTTTCCTATTACTTTTCTTTCCCTATTTTTCTGCTCATCTACTTTGTTCTCTCTCTCTCTCTCTCTCTCTCTCTCTCTCTCTCTCTCTCTCTCTGTTTTCCCCTTACCTATCATCACACAGTTGGACAACAGCTTGAATTTATTAATGAATTTAAAAAGTCTAGGAACTATGAAGTAGAAACGGAAGTTTAACATTTGCTGACTGGGTGTAGACAGTGCTATACTAAGCTAATTCTTATGTCTGAAACATTGACTGCTTTTAGTGACTGCTGCAATTACATGACTCAAATAGGTAAAAAGAAAGTTTCCCCAGATAAGATGGTGGAAATGCAAGCGAAAATTGATGAGGAGAGAAAAGCATTGGAAACAAAACTTGACATGGAAGAAGAAGAAAGAAACAAGGCTAGAGCTGAACTGGAGAGACGGGAGAAGGACCTTCTGAAAGCCCAGTGAGTGTGGTGGGGTCCAGACAGGCTTGTGGCTGCAGTTTCTGTGTTCGTCATAGGACTGTGTATCAGGAAAGTTAAGTAATTAAAAATAATCAAAAGCTTGATCTTTGTCTCCAGGATAGCTGCTTTAGGGTAGAAGGTCCACCATGTGTGATATTTTTAAAGCTTGGATCTTTCTGATCATTTAATCTCTGTGTAGGAGAAAATATTGGCCAATGTGAATGATACCTTAGCCCATGAGTTAATGCCATGTAGTGGTGTGATTTGGAGAGATAAATCACATGACTGAGTTTTTCGAAGTGCATCTTCAGTTCTCCTTCAACTGGGGGGGGGTGAGATTCGAGCAGCAGACAGGAATTTAGAATGTTCTCCTCTTCCTTATAGACAAGAGCACCAGTCTTTGCTGGAAAAACTGTCTGCTTTGGAGAAGAAGGTCATTGTTGGTGGTGTGGACTTGTTGGCCAAAGCTGAGGAGCAAGAGAAGCTTCTTGAGGAGTCCAATATGGAGCTGGAGGAGAGGAGGAAGAGAGCTGAGCAGCTTCGGAAAGAACTCGAGGAGAAAGAGGTGACGCCATGTTGAGTATAGTTGTGTGAGGCATGCCCACCCTTTCCAGTGGGAAACTACCGGAAAGAGGGTGGGAAACAGATTTGAAGACAGTAGTTAAGAAACTTCTAGATCATTTGTTGCATTGAATTTGTGACTTAAAACTATTCTGAACTTAACCTGTTTTTATCATAGCAAGAACGCTTGGACATTGAAGAAAAATATACCAGTCTGCAAGAGGAGGCACAGGGAAAGACCAAGAAGTTAAAGAAAGTCTGGACCATGCTGATGGCTGCAAAGTCAGAGGTTCGTGTCTTAGAAACTTCTCATAATGCAGTTCAGAATCTTAATGTGAGTTTACAGGTTTTTTTGTTTTGTTTTTGTTTTTAAGACAGAATTTTTCTATGTAGCCCTAACTGTCCTGGAATTTGTTCTGTAGGCAAGGCTGGCCTTGAACTCAACTCTGCCTGCCTCTGCCACCTGAGTGCTGGGATTAAAAGCATGACTACTGCCTGCTGCCACCACCGCCCCCCACAACTTAGCTTTGTGTGGTTACAGTTTTAAAGCACTAAAACACTCCTTTCTGTGTGTTTGCAATGTTGACCTGCCCCCAGCTCTAAGTGATAACAGCCTAGCCAGTGACAGTGTCAGTCTGTCCATGAACTGGCCAGTTCTTACCAGGCCTTATAGACCAGTGTCCTGGGCTAGGTGCAGTATTTGTGATTAAAATCTTGTTTTGTTTGTTTTTTGTTTTTGGAGACGGGTTTCTCTTTAGCTTTGAAGCCTGTCCTATAACTCACTCTGTAGACCGGGCTGGCCTTGAACTCACAGAGATCCACCAGCCTCTGCCTCCTGAGTGCTGCAATTGAAGGTGTGTGCCACCGACGCCCGACTTAGTGCTTAAAATCTTGTTTGCTTTATGCTGTCCTGGGTTCTCTGGTAGATGGCTGATCTCCAGCAAGAACATCAGAGGGAGATTGAAGGCCTCCTGGAGAACATTCGGCAGCTCAGCCGCGAGCTTCGGCTTCAGATGCTCATCATTGATAACTTCATACCTCAGGATTACCAGGTGAGGGGAGAGTCTAGACATTGGGTTATTGGCAAGGGCTAAAGAAGAAAGAATAAGCAGCGTAGCTAAATAAGATGTTACATGTTTACTTTGAAGCTGTCCTCTGTAAAGCTTTCTTGAACTAACGCCATCGTATAAAAGTGACTTAGGGTTACTATTGCTGTACTAAACAAGATGACCGAAGCACCTTGGGGACAAAAGGATTTATTCAACTTACACTTCCACATTAAGTTCATCACTGGGGGAAGGCAGGACAGGAACTCAAACATGCCAGGAACCTAGAGGCAGGAGCTAATGCAGAGGCCATGTAAGAGTGCTGCTTACTGACTTGCTCAACTTGTTTTCTTATAGAATCCAGGCCCACCAAACCAAGTATGGCACCACTCACAATGGGCTGGGGCTGGGCCCTCCCCCACCAATCACTAATTAAAAAAAATACCTGCCGGGCAGTGGTGGGACACATCTTTAATCCCAACACTGGGGAGACAAAGGCAGGCAGATCTGTGTGAATGAGTTCGAGAGGCCAGCCTGGTCTACAAAGAGAGTTCCAGGACAACCAGAGCTGCACAGTGAAACCCTGTCTCAAAAGAAAAGAAAGGGAAAAAAAAAAAGAAAATGCCTTACAGCTGGATCATATGGAGTTGTTTTTCAGCTGAGGTTCTCTCCTTTCAGATAACTCTGGCTTATATCAAGTTGACATAAGTCTAGCCAGCAGAAAAGGTATTAGTTTTCTTTAAAATGCAATTCTCTTTGTGAGTATCTAAGTATCTAAATAAGAATGTATCAGTCCACTGAAAGGAAGAATCTTGGTTTATGTAAATGCATCAGAATCTAGGTGAAGGTCCTGTCGATTCACTGACATATTTTCTTACAAAGTAGAGATGGAACTGGAGAGGTGGCACAGTGGTTAAGAGCGCTGCCTGCTCTTTCAGAGGATCCAGATCTAACCCCCACATGGCAACTCATAACCATTTGTAATTCCAGCCGGGGATCCAACTGGGCTCTTTTGTCCTGCACAGCCATCAGGCAGATGTGTGGTGCACAGACACACACCTGCAGACAAAACATTCATGTACATGGAATATATGCGTAGGTACTTTCTTAAATAAAAAAATATCAGAATGTGCTGCTGTCCTCTTCTTTGGTGCATGCACTTTGTGTGTGTGTAAGAATAGAACATGAAAATGCTCGTTCTAGTTGTATTTACAGTTGAGTAACACTAAATACGTTCACTTGGTTGTACAACCAGCCATCATCACTAGTCGTTTTCAAACAGGTGGTAATTGTTAATCACCAGCATAATTTAAAAATCTTATTTTTTTCTTAGCAAAAATTTTAAGTATATAGGAATGTGAGTTTGTGCACAGAGTCTAGGCTCGAATATTGGGTCCCCTCAAACTGCTGGGTGTGGATGCTGGGATTAGCCACAGGTGTGTGCAAGTGCAGTGAGCGCTCAGCCATGGAGCCCTCTCTCCAGCCCACCTTCTAGTAGATTCACAATGTTGTGAATCTCAGAATAGCTATGAGAAAATTTTCTGAAAATTTCCCTTCAGACCTGAGGTACCCTGAGTTAGTCTTGGGTTTCTGGTACACTCCAGAATGTCCCAGTTCCATGTTGTGACTGATAACTCCAAATCAGCTGAAAGCTAGACTGTAACCTGTTTCTAGCTGAATGTTTTCCCAGCCTTTCTACCCTTGGCCTCTTCCAGCCCAGTTCGCCCATCCTCCTGATTGCCAGGATTCCAACTTTTGTTTTTTTTCTTTTTTAATGTAGTTGAATAGTGTTCACATGTGTTCTTAAGAAGTGTGTGTGTCTTTGAATTTATTTTTATTTTATGCATATGGATGTTTTCCTTGTATGTGTATGTATATATGTATGTATGTATGTACCATGCACATGCCTGTCGCCCACAGTAACCAGAAGTGGTGTTGGATCCCCTGGAATTAGAGTTACATACTATTGTGAGTCACCGTGTAGGTGCTGGGAACTGAATCTATTTCCTCTGCAAGAAAAGTTGGTCTTAACCACTGAGCTAACTCTTCAACCCAAGGATTGTATATTTTTAAATGCTTGATGCAGTATGTATCAAGTGTAGGTCTAATGGGTCAAATGGTTCAGCAAGTAAAGGTTTATTCTGTAAACTTATGACCTGAGTCTGATCCCCAGAACCCACATGAAGAGAGAACTGGCTCAATAGAGTTGTTCTCTGACCGCCACATAAGCACCATGACTTGTCCCTACCCCCATCATGCGTGCGTGCATGTGTTTGTGTGTGTGTGTGTGTGTGTGTGAGAGAGAGAGAGAGAGAGAGAGAGAGAGAGAGAGAGAGAGAGAAGCGCCCTTAAAAAGAGCTTAGTTCAAGGCACAGGAAATTCTTATGAGCAATATTAGTGACATAGGGCTGGAGAGATGGTTCAACAGTTAAGAACATTGCCTGCTCTTCCAAAGGTCCTGAGTTCAATTCCCAGCAACAACATGGTGGCTCACAACCATCTGTAATGAGGTTTGGTGCCCACTTCTGGCCTTCAGACACACACAGAATATTGTATACATAATAAATAAATAAATAAATAAATATTTTAAAAAATATTAGTGACATTAGGAAGAGCCACACATTTCTACTGTCAGTTCTGGTCATAGTTTTCAGTATTTTAACTGTTTGACTAAAAGTCAGTTTTGACTCTTTCTAAAGGAAATGATTGAAAACTATGTCCATTGGAATGAAGACATAGGAGAATGGCAGCTGGTGAGTATTCCTTTCACCCTGCATGAAATTATGGAGTGGAGCTGGTGCTGGCTGCTGTGGGAGGAAGGTGGTGCTGGGTGGATCAGATCAGAACTTGGTGGATCATTCATGGCAATGCGTTAGGCCTGGTGCTGCTGGGTGCTGGGCGGTGTATTGGAGCCTTTCTGCTCCAGGATTCACATCATGTTTGCTAGTGAGCCATCAGGATGGCTTGCAGCGGCCTTCCCAGTTCACAGTACTGATTTACACATTTTTCTTCCCTCTTTTCCTTTTTTGAGAAATGTGTGGCCTACACAGGAAATAACATGAGGAAACAAACCCCAGTGCCTGACAAGAAGGAGAGAGACGTGAGAGCACTTTACACACTTGTTTGTCTTTATCATAATGGGGGTCGCTTGCTGCCTTGTTCCTAGTGTGCGGGCTGAGCAGTTCTTTTGTAAAAGAGAAGAGACTCTTGGGTGGGGCTGTTAGGACAGGTCTGCTCTTCGGCACACACTTAGCAAAAGTCACTCCTGCCACAAACATGGCCTGTTGTCACTCTCTGGTGTGCCTTTTTCACCACTCTGGGCTGTGGGATGTGGCAGGAGACTAGGATGCCTTGCTTCCCTCAGTCCCAGGTCTTCCAAAGTGCTGGTTTTAGAGAAAGGAAGACAGTTTTTCTTTACGTCTGGGCTCCTAATTCTCCAACTTAAGAGTGCATTTTACAGAGTAGAATAGAAGACTCTCTTTAAAAGGGTATTTGGTTTTGTTGTCAGTGGATCTTTTGCCCAGTGTCAGTTTGTGTTTTAAATCTTCCTCAAATCTGATTTAACTTTGTGTGTGTGTGTGTGTGTGTGTGTGTGTGTGTGTGTGTGTGTTCGTTCTTGTAGCCTTTTGAAGTAGATCTTTCCCACGTGTACCTCGCCTATACAGAGGAGAGTCTGCGTCAGTCTTTGATGAAGTTAGAAAGGCCACGGACCTCCAAGGGGAAAGCAAGGCCAAAGACTGGGAGAAGGTGAGGACAGCCCCAAGGCCCGAAGTCCTAAAGTGACTGTTGTGATACTATGGTTAGATATATCTCAAGGAAGCCAAACTTTAGTTACATGATGCGTGGTTTGAAATTATGTTCTTTATGCAATTACAATTTGATAAACAAAATATGGATAAATAATTGTACTCTGTGAGATCAAGGTCAGTCTGGTCTTTAGAGCAAAAATTTCAGGACAACCAGAGCTGTTACACATAGAAACCCTGTCTCAAAAAACAAACAAAACAAACAAAAAGAATTGCATTCTGGGACAGTTGTGGAGGCACACACCTTTTATCTCAGGACTTGAGAGCAAAGGCAGGCAGAGCTCTCTGAGTTACAGGCCAGCCTTGTCTACATCACAAATTTCAAAACAGCAGAGACTGCAAAATGAGACTCAGTCTCAAACAAAACAGAAACAGAACAGCATTCTTTCAGACCTCTGCCCATGGGTGGAGCAGAGCTAGTTTCAGCTTGCCTTGTTCTTTCCTAGAGTTTACCCACCACCTACTGTCTTGTCTAGGTTCTTAATTTTTACACTAATTCTCTTACTAAGACACCAATTAATTTGCCTAGTTAGACTCCTCAAATATTGTATTCATCTGGGCGGTTTTCTGACAAAGATACTGCCTCAAGGACGTTGATTTCCCAAGGGAAGCGTGCGTGACTCTCTAGCACCACCTGTGACAATCGTGTAGCCTATGTGCTTCATCTCGTCAGCTCACTGGAAAGCCTAGGCTGGCAGTGCTTCTCATGTTCCTACGCTGAGCTAATTTGCACCAGTTGCAAGACTTTTGTTTTACATATAAGGTGAAGTTAATGGATTTTATGTCTTTATGTTACGTAGTTTTTTTAGATGTAATATAACACTAAAAATGTTGGAATCATTAAACTAGGGCTGGAAAGAAACAGCTACATGCTAAAATGTATAATAATATTTTTGCATTTAGATGAAGTGATTTAAAGATTTTCATATGCTAACAGAGTCTTCACATGGAATCTTTATAATATATAAGTATTTATTTTATCTTTATGTGAGTGTTTTGCCTGCATGTTTATATTTGCACTGGTGTCAGATTTCCCGGAATAGTTGGTTGTAAGCCAACAGTTTTAGGGTGTGAACTCGGGTCCTTCGGAAGAACGACAGTGCTCTTATGTGCCATGCCATCTCTGCAACCCCACACGTGTAATATCAGGGAACAAAGTAATCTGTCCTGAAAAACAGCTCTTGAGTGGTCCCTCCCTGTTAGAGGGTTAGTAGATACCTCCTCTGAGCTCTGTGGTCATTAGGAAGATGCACTTCAGATGTGGCTAATGGTAACAAGACAGGCAGAGAAGGGCAGTGGAGCAAGCTGGCACGTGGTTCTGTCCCTTGTTAGTGTAGGAACAGAGGCCCCATTGTTACTGGACCGTTGTCTTTATAAAGAGAATCCAGATTGCTTTCATGAGGTCTCTAAAATTCAGCTACATTTTTTAAACTGTATAGACCTTAAAACAAATAATTTGATAAGCTATTAGATACAGTTTCTATAATGCACCACTATAAAATATTCTTTTTGTTTAGGTTAAGTTAAAATATTTGTGGGCCAACATGTGATCCAGACTCAACTCTGTAAAGAATCAAAAACTAGTCTTCGTGGGAAATAAGCAAATATGTGCACTGGATGATGTGTTTGTTCTCTTGTGAGGGCCCATGAAATGCTTCATGAGGGGCATGCAGTTCAGTGTGCTGGATAGGAGTAAGGAAGGCACATGATAGTACTGTAGGCTCAGACACTGGGAGTCCTGCTTCTCTGAGGCTCTCTGTACTGTTAGCCTCAGAGGAGGAGATGACCAAGGGACATCCCTGATAAGCTTAGTGGACACCTGTCTGCACCTTGCCTGACCCTGTGCTCAGTTCCTCACCACTCTTGATCACTGTACTGTGGCAATATGTTCTTGTGTTTGCTTTTGTGTAACCTTGCCTACTCTGGGTATCAATCAAACTGCTGTGGTCAGGCATGGCCAGTGTTGGTCCATTGTGGACTCCGGCCACATGGTGTGTTTGTTGACAGTCTGTTAGGGAAAAGCACTCATCTTGCATTTTTTTTCTTCTCTTAACAGAAAGCGTTCTGCAAAACCTGAGACCGTAATTGATTCTTTACTTCAGTAAATGTTGCAGAATTAAGGTTACAATAAAAAAGAGTGATATTCTCATGCCTGGACAGAAATCCTTAATTAAGACACTGGGGACACCTGTGTAATTCATATAATGTAAACTGTAAATTATGGAGTGAGACTGGATAACAATTTTCCTAATAACTTTTAGGCTCTTAAGTTTCTGTAACATGTAAGTGTGCATAGGTCATGATTGTTGGGGGATGCCACGCTGTGCTGCAATGCTCTGTGGAAGGAAGGTCGCAGTTCTTACAGAACATTGTGGTTGTATGTGAATGTGTGTCTCTTAGCTATGTACTCAGCTATTGTGTATCTAGATAAGCAAAATCTGAGTAGAAGAAAGTCTGTCTTGTTTGCACACAGTGCATAGCAGATCACCTTGTCCTGTGTCAAACGCCTGGGTGGCTCATCTAAGCAGTGACTTCTCCTAATACCCGACAGGCCTGTCTAAATGCATTCTGACTTTATACTGATGTTCATTGCATTTAAGTATGAGATGACTGACTTTATGGATCTCCTGTAGAAAATTGTATAACTTGACAAGTTTTGCAGGTTTGCATTTTAAAGATACAGTTTGAGCATGTGCTTCATCTGGCCGCCCTCCACCAGTTTCTCTCTCCCTAACTCCACCCACATTTAGCCTTTCTTGTTGTTGCTGGCTTGGCTTCCCTCCCAAAGCCACCACTGGCCACTTCCCTTTGCTCACACACATTCTTAAAGGTTTCCCTGGACATATGGATTACACTCTATTGCTGCATTTTAAGTTTTGATGGAAATGACTGTATACAAATTGAAACCAGTCTCATTTTTTCAGAAAATAAAGCTAAACAAGAAGAATACCTTTTAATTTTCTTTATAGCATTTACATATATAGAAAATACTGTTCTGAATTTCTTCTGTTGATTAATCCAGTTAGACCATATTCCTCTCCAAAAAAGTTATATTCAATATATAGTCAAATAAGGTTTCTAAATTTTTTATAATAAATGTTTTTACTTTTTTGGTGTCTACTTATAAAATTTTTTGAAGGTTATGAGGTCTTGTGCTTCAGAAACTTATCATGTTTTCTAAGTTTGAAATTGTGCGACCACTCCAAGCTCTTGCAAAGGTTTTGAGACTTCCCAAGTTAGGAATAACTAGGTTAGTATGATTTTAACAAGTTTGGGTAAACAATGGCTTATAATTAGAGAGCTATATGTAGGCTATGAATGACTGAGTAGAGGTACAGTCTGGTGAGGTGATGGAAAATGTGGCCATATATCTGTGGAGTCTTCCAGAAAGAGAGTGTCCTGTATGTGCAGTGTGTGCTGATATGACTATGGCCAGTGTGGCAGTGTCCTCACGGTAGTGTGTGGCCTGGGTTCTGTGGCGCACTGAGCAGAGAGTGTGTCTCATAAAGGCTTATGTGAGCTAAGTGTCTTGGTGATGTCTAATTTCTTCATGGTGTAAATTTAACTGCTAGTAATGACAGAATCTTAATTTAACCTGTAAGGAAAATTAATCTATATGTTTTCATTTTAAAAGTCTGTGTTTCTATCACTTAACAGTTTAGTTGGCCTGGAAGGAATATCTGCTGTGAATTAAACTAAAACATTAGAGATGTTGATTCTCTAATGTGTGTTAAAACCTATAACAATAACAAAATAACTCCATAAAAACTGAAAATATTGAGAAAATTCTCTAAACATCTTAGTAATTTTGTTTGCTTGCTTGTTTGTTGTTTTGAGATAGGCTCTCTCGGTGTTAGCCCAGGCTGGCCTGGGAGTCAGGATTCTTCCAGGTGCTATGATTACAGGTGACATCATAACACCAAACAGTGTGTTCATGTAAGTGTTTGTGCTAAAGCTCTGACCAGGCGGACATGGTTCATTTTCTGAAAACCATGTTAGATTCTTTCCAGGTTGGGAGGTCCATTTGAAGACGGCAGGACACCCACTTCTGTCACAGCAGCGCTGTGTCTTTGTTCACAAAGGAATAGTTTGTATTTTCAGTGTTGATTTCTTGAATGGATAGAGATGAAGAACAAACTTGCTTAATGTTTAAAATAAATGTACAGATTTTAAATGAATGAGACAGACCTATAAATAGGGTAAAATAAATTAAGTAATATTTCTTTACTTGAAAGGAACCCTTGTAGGAAGTCATATTGGCTCTGACAGCCAGGCTCTCCATTCACTGTCTGTTGTTGTGATGCTCAGGCTTAGCCAAGGAGAAGGCTGTGCAGCCAGTGTTTGCCTGACAACGGAGTCCTCTCACACGCTGTTTACATTCTGGACAAGGTGATTTTCTAATTTGTGTTTTTGGCAGCTGGAATATCAAGGTTGTTTTGCAGGGGAAAGTGTTGCTTCATCTGCGACATGGTTATGATTACAGTTTTAATGTTTTTGTTTTCATCGTAGGTTTAGAATGTGTCCCGTCCTCCTTGCCCCCTTTTAAGTCGTAGCACAAGGAACACCCTGTTACCTGTAGAGCTGTGAATTGTGGACTGGGTGAAGTTTACATTTACACACACCGCGTCTGCCCAGTTTCTCCTCCCTCTCTTCGTTCTGAGATAGAGTCCCATTAGCCTAGGCTGGCCACAAACCCTCTCTGTAGCTCAGGTTGGCCTTGAACTCCTGGTCCTCCTCTACCTCCACCTCACAATTGCTGGGATTACATTTATGCACCACTACACCCCAGCCCCTCTTCCCCCATGTCTTAACATATAGAATTATTTTCTTCTTTATTCTTTTTCTTTTAACTACTAGAAAACACAGTTCCTCCTAGTGCCTTTGAGCTGACCCTGCAGTTTTGACTAATTAGAATCAGTGGAAACCTGAGCAACATCACTGTATTGCTGTTACCAACCAGGATACAAACTGTTTAATAAGTTGGCTGTGTTAATTCAAAAACCACACTTGGGTTGTATTTTATGTATAAATTGTATTTGCTTAAGTTGTATATATCAGTGTTGTGTGCACATGCAGCATGAAAAGATGAGAAATAAAATTCCTCCCCAATGCCTACTGTCTTTTAAGAAATTTTTATTCATTTTTATTTTGTTGTGTCTGCTTACACATGTGTACACCATGTGTGTGCTGTGTGCCTGTGTTGACCAGAGAGTGTTGGGTCCCTCGAACTGGAGTTACAGTTATGAGTTGCCATGTGTGTGGTAGACAGGCTAAAGAAGTTCAACATGGGCCTTGAGAAGGTTTGATTTAATGACTACTTTAAAAGACTTTTTTTTTATTTATTCCAAGTTAACATACAAAATGACTGCGTGTCATTTGCCATTTTCAGACATCCATTTCACTAGGTTTTGCTCGTATTCATCCCCCTTGCTTGCCTTGTTGGCCCCCTTTTCTACCCAGATAATCTTCTCTCTGTTCTCATGAAAAGGATTTTTAGTTTAACCCTGCGGTCTGCTCCCTTTCCAACTGTTAGCCTTTATAGAACCCCTCCCCTGCGCCAGACTGCGGCCCTCTTTAGGAGTCCAGCTGGGCTGGATGTCTGCTTGAAAAGAAGGTGGAGGGGATGTCCCCCCAACTGGGATCCGGCTTCTCTATGGCTGTGCAGATGCCACCATCTCCCCTCATACTTCCCAGTGATCCTGAGGCCATAGACAATTAGAACAGAATAGCACTTGGTTAAGGGAGGGAGGGAATGACTGGACGCTTGGAAGGATTCCAGAACAAGCCCCCAAAAGTAAACTTCTCTGAAGCCTGATGTCCTTTAGAAATGGATGGCTTCACAGTTTCCTTTTTAAGGACTAAGTTGTTTTATGAGTTTGCATGTTTGCCTGCATCTATGTATGTGCATTGTAAGTGTGCCTGGTGCCTGCAGTGCTCAGGAGAAGGCATCAGATCCCTCAGAACTGGGGTTATGGACACTTGAGAGCCATCATATGGGTCCTGGAAACTGAGTTCCAGCCCTGCAAGAGCAGCCAGTGCTCTTAACCGCCGAGCTGTCTGCATAGCCCTCAAGAATTCTTTCAATTGATTGAACTAGATGATCTTATGGCCTCCGTATCTCTGGCCTGGTTAACTCTGGGTCACCATTTCCTACTCCCTTTCTTTGAGATGAATAGCGTCAGTTTGGGGGGAGGCACACAAGTACACACTCATGTGCATGTGTGTGCAGGTGCAGTGTTCTTACTGCTCTAAGGGACCACTGGCTAGGCCAGGCTGGTGGAGCCGGGAGTCCCAGGTATGGGCCTTTCTCTGCCTCCCCAGGCCAGATGCTGCTGTGCTCTGCTGCTTAATGGGTGCTGGGCCAAACTTAGCACTTTACTTGCTGAGCTGTCTTCTCAGTCATGCCCCTTCTCCACTTTTAAGATTTTATTTTTATTTATGTGTTTGGTGGGAATGAGGGTGGGGAAGTATTTGCCCATAAATGCAATTGCCAGGGGAAGCCAGAAGGGAGCGTCAGATCCCCTTAAACTGGAGCTACAGACATTTGGGAGCCACACAGCATGGGTGCTGGGAGCTAAATGCCAGTCCTCTGGAAAAGTAGTCTGTCCTCTCAGCCTCTGAGCCATCTGTTAGAGCCCCCTACCCCAATGCTTTTTGTTTGTTTGAGACAGTGTCTTATTTAGCCCAGGCTGGCCTCCAACTCTGTACATAGACAACTCCAACTCTATACATTCAGTTTCTGATGATCTTGACCCCACCTGATTGCTGAGATCACGGCAGGAGACAGCAGAGGCTAGCCACCCTTGCTGTTTCCTGCCCTCATCTTTTCCAGTGAATCACTCAGTTCCATTGTAAAACTAGGCAGTATCTGAACGAATGGGAATTACCGTGAACCCAAGCCCAGCAGAAACAGTCCAGGGGCTCTGAAGCCTTTGGGGTCTGAGCTTCAGACTGAGGGGCGGAGCCTCCAGGCACATTTGTTAGTGGATTAGCAGAATTGTTCCTTAAACCATTTGATTTGCAAAGCAAATCAGGTATTCCGTCTTCCTTCGGAAGCTGAGCCCTTGTGTGGGAAAGTGGAGGTGAAGAGGCTACTTCAAAAACAAGCTGTTTCCTCTCGGCATTTATCTTGGGCTTCCTGCGACCCAACCTTCAGGTTACTTTTATCAGTGCTATCAGAACATCGGGCTGTCTTACCCAGACACGGGTATGGCTCTCTGAAGCATGGGACAGATCAGATGTCCTCCCACACCTGCTCCCCTCCCCCAGCCTCTCAGAGGGCTGGGGAAATTTGAGTTGTAATCAAAGGCTGCATTTCTCCGATTGTAGCTAAGAATTTAACTGGGACTTTACAACCGAATAAAATTTTCTCAGAGTCCGATACCAATCTTAACAAAGAGGATATTGCCTAACCCAACCTAAAAGTGCCAGAGAGGCTGCAGAAATCCTATGCTGGCCTCAACTTCTGATCTCCACCGAGAGTCTTGCCGCCCCCGCCCCCACCCCCCACTGGCCAGACGGCCTCTGTTTGTTCTGTTGTTAAATTACCTTACAGAATGGTTGGTTTTTATTGTAGCATCCTAATGCCCAAACACCATCATAATGTGATTAATTAGCGCCCCTCACCCTCTCTCCTCCATCCTTCCTCCAGATAGTCCTGGCTTGTGCTTCTCACAGGTCACCCCACTCCTGAAGGTACCCCTCCCTTCATTCCCTTTCATGTTACCCATGCGCACACTCTGAATACACACAGATTTAAATCCAGATTCTGCATAAAACAGAAAAAAAATTGTCTCAATCTGGCTTTATTTTGCTTAACATAATCTCGGGCTACATTACTTTTTGTAAGCATCATGATTTCATTCTTTGTGCCTAAACATGATTCCACTGTGTGTACAAGCAGCATATCCTCTACCTGTTTATCTGTTGGTAGATACCTTGGTTCCATATCTCCGTGCTTGAACAGAGCTACGATTGTGAATGTACAAGCATCCCTGTGGTGTGCTCGCTCACAACCCTCCCGGTTCATAGTGAGTAACTGAAGCACAGACCTGTGTTTAGTTCTTTGGGCATCTCCACACCAGTTTCCACAGTAGCCGCCCAGCTGACTTTCCCACCAGCAGTGTCTAAGTGACCTGGTGCCTCTTTTAAGTGTACCTTGGGACTGGGGAGATGGCTCAGTGGGTAAGGACACTTACGGAGTAGGCATGCGGGCCTGAGTTCCGATCACCAGCACCCACACAGAAGCCGGGTATGGCAGCCCAAACTGCCCAGAGCTAGGTGGAGACAGATGGATCTATAGCTAGTCTGCCAATCCACCTGATAGGGTGAGCTCCAGGTTAAGTAAGATCCTGTTTCAAGAAGCAAGATAGTTGGGGTGATGGTTCAGTGGGTACAGGGGTTTGCTGTGCAAACCTAAAAACCTGAGATCAATGTCTGGTGCTGACCTAAAGGAGAGAGAGAACTGACCTTCAGCATGTATGCCCTGCCGCACAGGTACACACACACGGGCATACACTCGCACGCACTTAAATGCATACACACGGGCATACGCTCACACGCATGCACACACACATTCAGAAAAAGAAAAATAGTGATTGAAAAAGACACATGAAATTGTCTGGCCTTCACATTGCGATGTAAAGTCACATGCCCATATGTACTCGTGTGTGTGTGTGTGCGCGCGCACACACCACACGCACACAGGCAATCTGGAGAGCTAAGGTGGGAATGTCATGGTCTCAGGGTGGAAGACCAAGAGGGCTGGGGGTGTACCTCACAGTAAGGTACTCTACTGTGCACAAGGCCCAGGTTCAATCCCTAGTACAGCAGGAGGAGGACTCTTTTAAACCTTTTTTTTTTTTTCTTTTTTAAGAGAGGCCAGTTCAAGAGATGTCAGCCATGACAGTTTAAATAACTGTCGGGACTGCAGTGCCCGAGAGCGGAACCCTACCTTGTGTTGAATAAATTAACTCTGCAAGTTAACAAGACATCAGTCCCAAGACACGAGACAGCCCCTACCTGCCCAGGGTGCAGGTTGACAGAGCTGAGACCCTGACCTTTGTGTTGAGGGCGCATGACATGCCTCTTCCACAAGGAAGCTGGGTGCTGCATTTTGCTTTGAGCTGCCCCATCCTTGGAGGATCTTGATACTGTGGGATGCCACCTGAGAGGACAGGTGCAGACGGACAAAGAAAAACCAAGGTCACAGGCAATGGTGCAAAGAGAGCAACAACAAAAAGAATCCCTGGACCATTTTTTAGATTACATTTATTTATTTGCATGTGCGCGTGTGTGTGCGTGAACACTTAGGGACACATATGTATGCAACAACACCTGTGGCAACCAGAGGACAACTTGTGGAAGTCAGTTCTCTCCTCCTACCATGTCAATCCTGGGGACCAAACTCAGGTGTTCAAGCTGGGCCAACTTGGCTGGCACATCCCATGGCATTCTTATTAGAGGCCAACATTTCTTAATGCACCCCCAAAAATGTTGCACACAAGACACAGGTATATGGTTTTGTTAGGTATTTATCCTCTAGGTACTGATTACCCATTGCCAGTTAGAAATAACCTATCCAGTGGTTGAGGGCAGAGCAGTGACGACAGGGATGATGGGAGACAGCCAATGGTACCATCTTTGCTGTCAGCGACAAGCTACAGTCCACCCAGCAGGCGCTGGCTGTGGCTAGATGGCCTCCATAACTGCTCCAATCACAAGCCCCAAGACTTGCATTTAATCCTGAAGTTTCTCCTCGCATGTGTTTGATGTCTGTCCTTAGCCTGTGGTCTCCTCTTCTCTTGGTCCCATCAGAGGATCCAGAGTCCAGCCCCTCTGTCCAAATGCAAACAAGAATGTTAGTATGTCCTGACCATCTGAGCTCACTGTGTGCTCGACTGACCTAGAGCCGGTGTGTGTCCTGTGGTCTGATCTAAGTCTTTCTTTTTGACAGCCTTTCCTTTATCATCCTGGCCTCATATACCAAGTACAAACCCACAACTCATATCCTGTGGCAGACACGGCTCACGTTAGGTAGCGCATGCAAATGAGTTTCAATCAAAGGAGTAAGGAAATTAAAATTGTCACTGTGCATCTTCCTCAATTGGCCTTAGAAGCTTTTATTGCCCTTGGCACACTGGTATTTTATGTGGGCAGGGTGAAACTGACTGTGGTCAGGGTGAGATTTTAAGCTTTTGATTTGTTTCCCCTTATTTTGAAGGGGTTAAAAAGTTGGTATGTATTTTTGGTGTGATTTTAGTGCTGGTGTTAATTGTCGTCACATGCGTGTGACTGAGAGCCAAAAGAGTGCCAAGTCACTGTTACTAGACTCCTCTTCCTTCACAGAGTGTCTTCCCAGGGGCAAGTTGGACGCCAGGGGTCTTAGCTAGTTTCTCTCCTCTCACTTCCATTCCTGTAACATAACAGTGTTCTTAAGATATAACCCTTGCTCTTTTAAAAATATATATTTTACCAGGCGGTGGTGCACACGCCTTTAACCCCGGCACTCAGGGGGCAGAGGCAGGCGGATCTCTGTGAGTTCGAGGCCAACCTGGTCTACAGAGTGAGTTTCAGGACAGCCAGGGCTGTTACACAGAGAAACCTTGTCTTTAAAAAAGTGTGTGTGTTTGTGTATGTGTGTGCACACACACACATTTTATTCTGATTTTATGCGTGTTTTGCCTTCATGTATGTCTGCACAATGTGAAGGAGGCGATGTCTGTGAGTCCCTTAGAACTGAAATTTCAGATGGTTGTGCGCTGCCACAGGTGTGCTAGGAATCAAACCTGGGTCACCAGAATGAAACACAGTGTTGTCTCTTATGCACATGGACAGGGCACGCACACACACGCACACACACATGCACACACACACACACACACACACACACTGCCAATAGACACTCCAGCTCTGCTTCATCCCCCCTTAGCCGGATCACCGGTCCATCTTTTCCTTGTTTTTATTCTTCTGGTGGCCATCATCATAAATTCAAAGATCTCTTAACTCATTCTTTACTTTTCTTCATGTTCTATAAAGAAAGCTTCCACATGGGAGCAAGGCAGTTTGCCCTGTGGCCTCTCTTGCAGCCGTCAGCAACTCAGGACTAATCTCTAAATTTTTTGAGATTTGTTCATTCTTATTTTATGTGTGAGTGTATGGCCCGCATGCATGTCTGTGTTCTGCACACAGTGCCAACAGAGGGTCAGAAACTGGAGTTTCGGACAGTTGTGAGTCCCCATGTGGTGCTGGGGCTTGAACCCGGGTCCTTTGGAAAAGGAGTCAGTACTCTTAACCACTGAGCCATCTCTCCCGCCCTAAATCATGACTACAACAATTTTCTCAATTATCAACTTTAGATGTTACATGTCTATTTCCTTATTGAAAAATTAAGACTTATTTCATGCTTTTTGGAGGGTGCAGAGTTGAGGCAAAATCTCATTTATTCATGTTGGTCATAACTCACATTCTTTTAAAAAATATACTTTGATTCTATTAAATTCATGTAAATGTGTGTGTGTGTGTGTGTGTGCATGTGAATGTGTGCTTGTGAGTTCAGTGCCCCCAGAGGCCAAAGGTGTCAGATCTCCTGGAGTTAGATAATTGTGATCCACCTTGTGGGTGCTGGGAGCCAACTTGGTCCCTATTCAAGAGCAGCAGTGCTCTAACCACTGGGCCACCTCACCTGCCCAGTAACATTTTATTTTTTATTTTTAGTTTTTTTTTTTTTTCTTGCAACAGGGTTTCACTTTGTAGCTCTGGCTGGCCTGCAGCTCCTGTATAGGCCAGGCTGGCCTCAGGCTCACAGAGGTCGCATAGGTATCCTGTTTTTCTTTGTTATGATTGTGTACATACGATGCACTTGTGGAGGTCAGAGGGCAACTTTGCAGAGCTGGTTTTCTCCTTCTGCTTTGCTGTGGGTTCTGGGGATCCATGCTGGCCTGCCTCCGACTGGATTGTAGGTATGTGCCACCAATTCCCTGTCCTTTAAAAAAATAGTTTTAAATTTCTGGTTCTTGTTTTGTCAGCTGTAGGCTCTGCTGTCTCGGTGATTCCTCCTCTGGAAGATGGGGTGTGGTGCCTTTTTGTTTCTGCTGTTTTATTTACTTAGTGAGTGGGGGGGGTAGGGGGTTTGAGTGTGAGTGTGTGTGTGGTAGGGGGTTTGAGTGTGAGTGTGTGTGTGGTAGTGGGATTGAGTGTGAGTGTGTGTGTGGTAGTGGGATTGAGTGTGTGTGTGTGGTAGGGGGGTTGAGTGTGAGCGTGTGTGTGTGTAGGGGGTTTGAGTGTGTGTGTATGTGTGTGTGTAGGGGCTTTGAGTGTATGTGTAGGGTTCAGAGGATAGTCCCATGGAGTCAATTCTTTCCTACCTACAGATTTATCTCCCTGACTATTCTATACTTATTTTGTTGTTTATTTGTTTGCTTGTTTGTTTTTTGAGACAGGGTTTCTCTGTAGCTTTGGATCCTGTCCTGGAACTAGCACTTATAGACCAGGCTGGCCTCAAATTCACAGAGATCTGCCTGCCTCTGCCTCCTGAGTGCTGGAATTAAAGGTGTGCATCACCACTGCCTGGCTATTTTATTTTTTATGTGTATGAGTATTTTGTCTACGTACATGTAGTCTGAGTACCACATGCATGCCTCCAATAGGGGACCAGAAGAGGGCATCAGATCCCCTGGGACTAGAGTTACTGTGTTAAGCCCCCATGCAGGTGCTGGAGATGGAGCCTGGGTCTTCTGGAAGAGCAACAAATACTCTTAGCCAATGGACCATCTCTCCAGCCCCTTTTCTAATTATTTATTTATTTTTATTTTATGTGCATGGTGTTTTGCCTGCATGTATGTCTGTATGAAAGTGTCAGATCTTGGAGTTACAGACCATGTGAGCTGCCATGTGAGTGCTAGGAATTGAACCCTGGTCCTCTGGAAGAGTAGTCAGTGCTCTTAACCACTGAGTCATCCCTTCAGCCTCCTCCCACCCCCACCCCACTGCTATCCTTTAATGATTTTGTATATTATGTCCTTGACCCGAGTGGAAACTCCTTGAGAAGGAATCAGGCTTTCTGTGGTGTCCTCACACAAACCGTAGTGATGGTAAGTTAAACCAGCTTCTGTAACAGATGAACTATGACCTCATTGCCAAATGAAGTGCTGTTAATTGTCATTGCTGTTAGATTATACATATTTTATTAATTATAAATATATAAATATTAAAAATAAAATCATTAAAAATATATAAGTTAAAACGTGGAGCTCCCACACTGCCAGTATTTCCTTTGCATGATCCTTTTTAGGCTTCCCAAGAAGTCTGTCAGTGTTGTGTGCGTGGACTCATTCACAGTGCAGTTTTTCTACAAAAGAAACGTTCATTGTGTGAGTACATCAGGTCTCCCTATCAGGCCTGCGTGTTCGGCCAAGCTGACCCTGGTGTCCTCCAAAACAATGTTCAGACCAGGGCTTCCAGACTATCTTGGCCTGAGTTTGACTTTCATGAAGCCAGCAAGATCTGGCCTGCTCTTGGTATGCGCTATGGTCACTACTGGTCTGCCTTCGGGGTACCACAGCCTCTGGAGTGGCGTGCCACAGACGGGATGCAGGAGGGGGAGCAGAACATGCAGCCTCAGACCTGGCTGTGTTGTCGCTCGGCCTATGAAGCAAGATGCAAGCCTCGCTGCCCTCCTACCCCTGCAGCAGGTACATTTCAGAGTGGGGACAGTGACGTAACAAGAAGTCTAGGAATCCTCTCCATGCTGATGCTGCAGTTTGGGTATCAGTGCCACCATTGTTACGTAGCTTGAACTGGCCACCTTGCTCACGAAAGCTCCAGTTCCCAGTTCGGGAACTGTGAGGTGGCCGTGCTGAGTTTATCCATCAGTGACAATCACTGTTATCCCTGTCCTGCCCTGTGACGATGGCCCTCCATCCTCTTCTTCTCCGCTTGCTGACATGTTCCCTGCCACCCAGTGTGAACAAGTATCACTTGGAACGCACCTGGGCTCCATCCTGACGGCAATTCTAGCAGCTTCCCTCCATCCCTGGGACAATATCCAAAGGCTTATATGAGCCCAGCTGCTAAACCTACTTCTTTATTTTTGTTTTGTTTTTGGAGACAGAGTTTCTCTGTGTAGCCCTGACTGTCCTGGAACTCACTCTATAGATCAGGATGGCCTCAAATTCAGTGATCTACCTGCCTCTGCCTCCCTAGTGCTGGGATTAAAGGCGTGCACCGCCACTACCTGGCTTAAACCTGCTTTCCTAACTCTGATCCAGCCGCACTAGAACACATGCATTTCATCAGGGCATTTGTCCATTAATCCCATAGCCTGCTTCCTCACTTAATTCAAATATCTGCCCAGAGAATCAGCCCGCTCCCGAGCCACCCGCTCTGTTTATCCCTATGTCTTTCTTCATAGCATGAACACAACTGAGCATTGTCTTGCTGCTTATCTCTTCTAACCACTTCACTAGAACATTCCATGAGAGCCAAGAGCTCTCTGTCTGCTGGTCTTTCATGCTGCTCCACAGCGCCAGGTCTTTTGTGAGCTGTTGTCCTGCCCTGCTTACCGGTGATGGAAGCAGGCCGCTGATGCTCCTGATGAGTCTTTTCAGGTCTTTGTGAAGCCGAGGATTGTTCTTCAAGCACAGAATCTCATCATGTGGGTTATAGAACTTGCGAAGTACCTGGGAAGCCTTACAGATAAGTTCCCTCTCCGTGGTGTTCTGCCAAGAGAAATAATACAGGAAGCTGTTGGCTGCTTGGCTTGGAGCAGGAGATTTTCCTACCTCAGGGGTGAGTCTGTTAAGCTCAGAATCTCTAGGCAAGTATTTCTGCAGAATTTCCCAGGTTCTTTTCCATGGAGGGTTTTATTGAAAGGGTTCCTTCAGTAAAGTCTCCCACCTAGGTCAATAGCAGAGTGTGGAGCATCCTCAGTCCCCATCTTTCTACCCTGTGGGCTCTCCTGTCTGCCTAAGGTGCCCACATGAGCTCTTAGCCAGCTGTGGCTCCTGTTCCTCCATGGTCCTGGGGACCCTCCATGTTTGCTGATGGCTGAATGCCTGCTGGGAGCATACGGCCCTACCCAAGGAGAAAGCAGTATCTGGACACACTCATAGTCCCAATGGAGGGCTAAGGCATGTCCCCCAGAAAGCCAGAGATAGGAACCCAGTTGGTGGCCAGGAAGGGCTCTTGGGAGAGGGTGTCATTGTTCTGGGCCTTGGTTGGGGCTTCTGAGAGGAGCCTTTGCCATTGGTAGAGATAAGAGTTCCCGACTTTTCCCAAGGACTCGGGTCTCAGAAGATGGAAGGCACCAGTGGGAAGCCTGGAGGCGGGATGGGCTCTGTCTTTCCAGGCCTCGTGTTCCCTCTGGCTTCCCCTGAAGCTCGCACACATCACGGAGAGTGTCAGCGTGAGTCAGTGTCTGTATCCCACTGAGAGAAACTGCTGTCCCCTATGCCATGATGTGTGCACAATCCTGGCTACCCCGCAGCTTGTGCCATGGTCTGACATCACCAGGAGCTTGGCAGTGACGCTCACGGCCCACTCTCAGCCCACTGAGCCGGGATGTACCCTGAGGACACCAGGGCAGCTGACAGGCGATGCGCTGCCCAGGCAGCTTCTAGCTGGTTTCACTTCTCACGGTTGCCTAATTTTTTCCTGACTATTACGGTATACTTAACAAAAATGAATTCACTTATCCCACTAGCCAAAAGTAACTCTTCTACTGCTAATTCTTGGGTAAATATCAGGAATGGGGATGAACTCAGTGGTAGGTCACTTGCCTAGTGTGTGTGAGGGCCAGGCTCAGTCTCCGATACAGAAAAAGAAAATACCAAATATCTTACTAGAGTTTTGTTGGGTTTGAGACAGGATCTCACTGTGTACTCCTGGCTGGCCTAGAAGTCAAAGAGATCCATCTGCCTCTTCCTCCCGTGCTGGGATTTAAAGGCGTGCAACACCACATGGGTTTGTCAGTATGTAGTCTCTAAAAATAACTAAATTCAAAATGGAAAGAGACTGCACAAGTAGGGGCAACTCCAAAAGTGCTGGTCTCAAAGGCGACGTAGCCAGGGACCTTCGAGTTTTAGTTCCATCAATTTTGCCACCAAAGATGACACGCCACCCCACCCGCCTATTTTGTGTGTTTGCCTGAGAAAGTCCTGCCTGGCGGCTCAGGGAACACACGGTGACAGGCAGCCAGCCTTGCACCTCGCTCCTTACCACAAGTGAGTCTGTGGCTCACAAGAATGGCAGGAAACGGCTACCAAGGAGGCCTCTTCTGTGGCAGCAGCCGTCTCAGGGTCCCCAGCAGGTCTCCACCAGCCTTGGTCGGGCCCAGGAAAGTCAAATCCTATCCCTATTGTGTTCCTTTGTCTCCAGCTGGGCCCAGTTATCCCAGGGCTGGAGAGCCAGGGACAGGAGGATCCCTGAGGTTCAATGGGCAGCCAGTCTAGCCTACTTGCCAAGCTCCAGGCCAATGAGACTCTGTCTTTTAAAAAAATGAAAAAGCAACAATATAGCGGGTGCCACTACATGCACAAACACACACATGCATCCACGTGCATATATGTGAACACACACACATGCTTGAATACACACACACACACACACACACATACACCTTCAGAACATCTCAAGGGCTTCTGTCTTTAATTTTATTTTGTAAAGAAGAAATACCCAACAGGGCACTAGTGGCACACACCTTTATTCCCAACACTTGGGAGGCAGAGGTAGGAGGATCTCTGTGAGTTCGAGGCCAGCCTGGTCTATAAGAGCTAGTTTTAGGACACGCACCAAAGCTACATAGAAACCTTGTCTCAAAAAAGAAAGAAAAAAAAAAAGGAAAAGAAAAGAAGAAGAAATACCCCAGCGGCCGATGGTCCACCCAGAGGCCCTTCACAGAACAACCAGCTTGTGCTTGTCTCTTGCTTTTCCCCAGGTGTTGCAGCCATCAGTGTTGTCTGTGACACCAGGGGTCTATCTCAGAGCGGTCTCCCTACTACCAGCTGCGTGCTGCCCAGCTTAAAGAGGCTGCAAGCTTTGATCCCCCCAAAAGTTAAATTACTAGATTTTAGAAAGGTAGTCTCTTTGGGAACCCCAAAGAAGTAGTCTCCCTCAAACCAATTTTGTGGACTCCAGAAAATAACCTTTTCCTGATCAGAAATATCACACTCTGAAAGTAAGCAAGGCCGAGTCTTCAGGGGATAGACAAGAATGGGAGGAAGGGGAGCAAAACCAGGAGGTCTGAAGCATTTGGGGGGAAGCCCATGAGACAGGCGTGTGACAGAAGTCAGGGAAGCCTTGTTTTCAAGCTCATGTAAGACTGAGTAAGAGCAAAGCTAGCATGAGGGTAGGGGTGGGAACGGGGCACACAGTGGTCTAGATGGCCTACAATGAGTAGGTCCAGACTTGGAGCCAATGGAGGCTCGGCCAGCTGATGGCCTTTCTTAGACATGTCGCTTCTCTGCAGTTGGCTGTGCACTTGGTCACACAAACACTACACTTTCAGTTAAATTCCTAGAACTACCGGCCCTCATATGACCTTCAGAATCAATCAACCTTTGTATTCCCACATGTGGATAGCAAGGAGGCTCCAACATATATGAAGATCTGCCAAAAGCCAGGTGACCAGTGAATGGCAGAACCGCAGCCAAAACCAAAGGTTCTCACACCCAGACTTGGCACTCCCTTTCGGTCCAGTTCCCGGGAACTGGTCCCTGTCCTGGATTTCGGTAGGACAGGACAGTAGATTTGACTCCTGGTTGGAAGGACTCAGAGAATCAATAGATACTTAAGGTTACATAGCAAATAAACAATGAGATAGATATGCACACACACATATAGATAGATAGACATGTAGATCACACATATATGCGTGTGAATCTTTACATATATACATACATGTACATTTGTCCTTCAGAAACATCCTGGAGTAATCTTGCATAAAATGAGATCATCCAGACAAAGTTTCCACATGTGAATCAGGAGGAACCCTGGTCACGGCCTGGGGTGCTGGCCTATGACCCTGACTACCCCAGAGCTGCGTTCCCGACCTAGCCCCCGTCCGGCACACGTGGGAAGCAGGCAGTAGGGAGACCACTGGTAAATCAAGGCTTTTGGGGTTTTCATTCTCACTTGTGTGTTTCCATGAAAACAGGAACTGAAGAGCACAGAGCTATTGATATGGAGGTAGCCAGTCATGTGTTTGTCAGAGAAAATGCACTATCAGCTGTCACATCTTCCCCTCCCACTCCAGGTGGAGGGGTGGGGGCGAGGCAGTATGGGAGGCAGAAAGGGGAGCTAGATGCCCAAGCAGATCTGGGATGGTCAGCCTCCAGCCAGAGGACAGTTCCACACTAGGCTGAGGGGGACTGGGGTGGGACAGAGTGAGCTGAGGATCCACACAGAGGGCCACCGTCCCAGCTGACTGTTAGGTGACCAGGCTGAGAAAGAGGAGATCTAGTGGTACCGTAGGAAGTCTCTTAGACAAAGTGAAAGCCTTCTCAACCTGTAATCTCCATATCTGTTTTTGAGAGAGTATTTGCTTTTTCAGAAATGCATGGGCCAAAGAAAGGGGGAGAGAGAGGGGGGCGGGGAGGAGGGAAGGAGGGAGAGAGAGAGAGAGCGAGAATTCTCAACAGACACAGTTGTGAGTCTACTATGTTATAGATACTGCCCAAGACTGGGTAGGGTTCTAGGCACTCCTGCACCCTGAGTTAGGAAGACACATCCACTCGTTCTATGATGCTTTCGAAGTCTAGTCAAATTCGAAACTGCAAACTACACTGGAGTAAGAGCCTCCCCGGTGTCTAAAAGTCCCTCCTTTGGGCCTGCCAGTTTTCTGTCACCAAAGTTTCTCATTCAGACTTGTGGGAAACCCTCCTCTTCCACCTCCCACAGATGCTGAAGCAGACCCCATGGCTCCACTCACCTCCCTCTCTGTAAAGACGTCTGATACGTTCATTCTGTCGGTGCACGGCGTCTTGACACAGACACGATGGAAAGATAAGCGTTAAATCCAAGTAGGACAGAGAAATCATCCATACACCTCTCACTCCCCTACCCCGAGGAAACTCCCTACTGCCTCGCAGTTGGAAGTAGCAGGATCTCCTGAAGTCTGGCTATGTCCTTAGTCCTGCCCCAACCACCAGCCACTGGCCTCTCTATCCGCTCAGGGCTCCTAGCCTAGAACCGCCGGCAGCATCACCTGATCGTCTGGGGAGATGGTGCCAGATAGATACTCACCCCTTTTTCTGTGACCTGGTTCAAAATGTGGATGATCTCTTTCAAGGCTCTGCCGTCGCATCCGTGGGTAGAGTTCCCAGTACATGCTAGAAGGCAGAGCAAGACAGCAACTACCCGGGGGCTGAGACCCATCAATAGATCTCTACTGTCAGTGATGTGAGACAATTAAGTTTATCAAGCGACGCTAACAATGCAATTCTGACAGAGACATCTCTATATATAGAGTTAAAATTGCTGAAACCAAGGGAAAATGAGTTTACATTGGAAATTTTTGTTACACCAGATTGTCAGTTGTTTTGGGCCAATCAGCACCTCTCTTCCAGGAGAAAAAATGCCTCAGAGAAAACAGGTAAATTTTCCTGTGAAATCAGACCAATTGGAAAATGAAACCCTTAAAAAAAAATCTACAAAGTTTCAGCATAGGAAATTACACCATCCTCAGCCCTGTAGATTAATCTTATCAGCGTGGGGTTGCCACTGGCTTTGCTTTTGCACAGAAGGAAGAGGTCGCAGGTGTCCAGGCGTGCTGGTGCCGTCCTGGGGAAAAGACAGAGTAATATCAAGAAAGTCTGGCGTGCGGGGCATCTGGGGTTGGCTGCTTCCTGCTATGGGGGCACCTTGGAAACTCTGGTGTCTTGGGAAGACTGACTCTGGGTTCTTCACTGATAGGAGGATGACGGAGGCAGAACTCCTCTTCTAGTCCAGCTGGTCTTAAAAGTTTGAGGTCTTTGGAGACAGACAGGTAACATCAAGTAGGACCTTGTTTGGGACGAGCAGGACTATGAGGTCTTTACCAATAAGGCGGTCCCGGGAAAGATTGACAATTACCCTTCCTGAGGTAGAAGCTTGAGGAATGGTTGCTTTAAAAAAGAAAGTTTTAAGGAGGTACAGAAATGGCTCAATGATTAAGAGCACTGACTGCTCTTCCAGAGGACCTAGGTTCAATTCCCAGCACCTACATGGCAGCCCACAAGCATCTATAACTTTAGATTAAAACAAAACTAAAAAGCAATGATTGGTAAAAATAAAAAAAAAATGGGCTGGAGAGATGGCTCAGAGGTTAAGAAAACTGACTGCTGTCCCGGAGGTCCTGAGTTCAATTCCCAGCAACCACATGATGGCTCACACCCGTCTATAATGAGATCTGGTGTCCAGAACACTGTATACATAATAAATAAATTTTTAAAAAATTAAGAAAAGGAAAAAATACAAAAGTTCAAGAAATAAAAACAGAAATAAAAAATTTATACACAGAGACACCCTGTCTCAAAAAAGAAAGTTTTAAAAATTAAGTATTTATTTTGTGTGCGTGCGTGTATCTGTGCATCCTACAGCGTGAGTGTGTACATCAGAGGGTGGCCTGCGGAGCTCAGTTCTCTCCTTCCACTGTGCAGGTCCTGGGAAGTGAATTCTGGGTTGCAGGTTTTTCAGCAAGCGCCTTTCCCTACTAAGCCATCTCACTGGCCCAAGAATGGCTGGCTGCTTTTCAGTGAACTCAAACAAACACGTCCCAGTTAATCGGAAAACAGCCAGCCATGTCTCCCCACTTCCTCAGCTGTCTCCTTAATCTAATGCATCTGGGCCCTGGTGAGATGCCCATGGCCCCACACCAGCAGTAAACACACTGACCCTGCAGTGTTCCTAGAAGTGAAGGTCTCTTTGCAGTGACCCCTTGGCTCCCATCTGCCATAGAAGCAGATTCCTACTCCCATGCAGCATCCCCCCAGTTCCTTACTCTGGGATTCCTGCCTCGGTTCAGAATTCCTGACTTCTAGAAGAACATCTGGAAACATTTGTTGCTATGGTTGTTACTATTGGATTACTTTCCCATTATTTTTATTTAATTAATAAAAATTGAGTATGTTTATAGTACACAAGCCTTCCTTCCTTCTTCCCTTCCTCCTTTTTTTCTTTTTTCTTTCTTTTTAATTTTTATAATAAAAATGTTTGAAGGGCTTACACTGAAACCCAGGCTAGCTTGGAAGTCATGTAGACCAGACTGGCCTCAGATTCATGGAAATTCTCCTGCTTCTACCTCCCAAGCATAGGGATTATCGGTATGAGCCACCACCACACCCATTTTTTAAAATGTACCTGTTGTAAAGCTGGACACAGCGACATGTTCCTGTAGTACTAAAGAAATATGGGAAGATTCATTAAAAAATAAAATAAAGAAATGCCAGGCAGCTGGGCAGTGCTGGCGCATGCCTTTAATTCCAGCACTCCGGAGGCAGAGGGAGATAGATGGATCTCTGTGAGTTCGAGACAAGCTGGTTCCAGGACAGGCTCCAAAGTTACAGAGAAACCCTGTCTCAAAAAAAAAAAGAAAAGAGAAGAAAAGAAAAAGGGAAAAAAGAAAAAAGAAAGAAAGAAAGAAAGAAAGAAAAAAGAAAAAGAAAATGAAAAGAAAGAAAGAAAAAAGAAATGCCAGACAGTGTAGGCACATGCCTTTAACCCCAGCTCTCGGTGGCAGAGGCAGGTGGGGATCTCTGAGTTCAAGGCCAGGACAGCCAGGACTACACAGAGAAACCCTGTCTCTAAAAAACCCAACCAAATAAATGAATTATTGCTCAGCATTGGTTTTTCCCTGCCACTTCTCTGTGGGTCCTAAGGCTTACGCGCTAAACCTCGCGGCAAACCTGTCCCTGCTGAGCGTCCTGGCGGCTCTGAAGTTGATCCTCCACTGTGCAGATGGAGGCAGGGTCATCTCTGTTTCATTTTGTTCTTAGAATCATTTTTATGTTTTATGTGTCTGAGTATTTTGCTTTCATGTGTGTATGTTGGGACTTGAAGAGGGTGTAGGAACCCCTGGAACTGAAATTACAGATGGTTGTGAGCCTCCTCGCTGGTGCCAGGAACTGAACCAGGGTCCTTGGGAAGAGCGGCGAGTGCTCTTAACCCAGGAGCCCTCACAGAAGGGTGGGGTTCTTTTTGTTTTATCCTTTGTTTTCCTAGACAAGGTTTCTCTGTGTATCCGTCCAAGCTGTCCTGGAACTCACTTTGTAGACCAGGCTGGCCTCGAACACACGGAGATCTGCCTGCCTCAGGCTCCCAGTGCTGGGATTAAAGGCATGAGCCACCGCCACTGCCAGGCCAAGAGTGGGGTTCTTGAGAAGAGCATTTGGCAGATTATCTCCAGGACAAGCAGCTGTTCTGCTTGGGTTGAGGAGCTTGGCTGGGGTTGAACTTGCAGGTGAGCCAGGGTGGGGCACTGGGAAAATGGGACCCAGCTGGAGCTTATCCTCCATGACTGGAGGAACCCTGCTAAGCGACACGCTAGGACACTAGGATGGCTAGGAGAGAGCTGGACGGATCCCATAGGGTCCCTCTGAGCACTTGACTGCTGTGGCCACGTGGGAAGGACAGGGAGTCAGAAAGGATACAATGTGGGAACTCTCCGCTCAGGAGTGAGGTTCCTCTAGCTTGATTCAATGTTTGAATGAGGCCAGAGGGGAGAGGGTGGACTTCTCAGACACCAGCAAGTCTTCCCAAAGTCACCCCATGGTGACAGGTGACTGTGAATGGAGCTGATGAAGTCGGGAAAAGTTGGTGCTTGCCCTGCCTGGTAGGAGGGAGAGTAGAAGGCAGCAGCCGGCAGGAGTTAGTTGAGAGCAGGCAGGTGACTGTCACAGACCTTCTCCTGCCCTGTCAGCCGAGAGCCACTAAGCAGTACGTGCACCAGAGTGTGGAGTCCAGCAGGCAGCCCCTTGTGACTGTGACCATGGGAGAGCGTTAACTCTGGGCCTCAGTTTCCACAAAGGGAAAAGAAAGCTGCTTGCCTCCTCCCTCCAGGGCTCCTGTGGACAGTCAGGGAGCCATGGAAAGGGTTTAGCCCCTGTCACCCCCATGAAGAGGTAGCCACAAGGGATGTAGCTAAGAAGGCAGACTCTGGGCTGGCTGTTCTGTGTCTTCGCCTGTGGCCTTGGGCATACCCTCAGCCACGATCCCCAAACTGAAGAGCTGTACTTGGTTTTTGAGGTTGTCCTGAGTACTAAGTTCAGGTACTTAGATAAGCACCCAGGCCACAGTGGGCTCTGAGTCAGGGTGCTTTATAATTGATCATATTTTGATTGGGTGAATGACTGTAGTATTCTTTATAATACTCACGTCTGGACATTTGAGCTTTGTCACCTGGACGTTGTCCACACCTGTCCCTCCGTATGTATCTCCTTTTAAGTCTTTGGGTCCCATGCTTGTTTCTGAAGAGTTGGAGTGTCGACTCTTCAACTCCCAGATTTATGGACCCGCCTAGCAGAGGAAGCTGGTTCTGTCTTGCCATGGGCACTTCATTCAGTAAAAGGAGGTGGGTGAGAGAAACCCTGTCATGAAAAACAAAAACCAGAGAAACAAAAAAAGACCCAGAGTTGGGGGCTAGTGAGATGACTCAATGGATCAAAGTCTGATGACCTGGGTTTAATTCCCAGGGCCCACACAGAAGAAGTAAACTGTCTCCCTGCAAGTTGCCCTCTGACTTCCACACATGCATGCACACACATCTGTACACACATGCATATGCACACATCTATACACACATGCGTATATGCACACACTTCTATACACACATGCATATGCACACACATCTATACACACATGTGTATGTATACACATCTATATACACATACATATACACATACTTCTATACACACATGCATATGCACACATGTATATGCACACATATCTAAGAAAGACTCAAATCAGCCTCCTCTGAATCCAGCTCCAGATGATTCTGTCTGGGTGTCCCAGTGAAGCCAGGCTGACAGTAGAGTAGGGTGTGGGAAAACTCTATATGTGGTGATAAGTATCAAGAGAGAGTTGATGGGGTACCTGGCACATTAGGAGAAATGCATACGCATAAACACATATGAAAAGAAATGTAAAATAACCCCCAAACCCAGCTGTGGTCATGCCGCAGCCGTGGTGGCAGCATCACTTGAACTGAACTGAATGCACTTTGGCGTGAGTGAGGAGACCACTGTAGGTGACCTGGGTTTCTGGCCCAGGGAACTGTCCTTCTGGGAGAGGACAGTTTAGAAGGTGCGAGATAGGGTCGGAGGTCGGCAATGCTAAGCTGAGGGGCCTCTGTGGCTCTGCCCATGGGGGATTTTCCTTTGACAGAGTCCTACTGGGTTGAGAAACGTGTGGTGGTAAGAAGTGACCCACTAGTGACCTTCCAGTGATGCCGGAAGAGGGGTCGGTGACCTGGCTAGGAGTCCTGCACAGGCAGGGCCGGAAGCCCAGTGTCAAGAAGCGGAAGTGAGGGGTCACGGTCATCACGGCCAGTGGAAGGTGATGGGAGATAAGAGCAAGGGACTGAT